CTGTGTAGGCCAATCACGTGAGGTCTGGAGTTTGAGACCAGCCCGGCCAACATTGTAAAACCTCATCTTGACTAAAATACAAAAATTAACTGGGTATGATAGTGGGCACCTGTAATCTGAGCTACCCGGGTGGCTATGGCAGGAGAATCACTGGAATCCAGGACGCAAAGTTTGCAGTGAGCTGAAATCACACCACTTCACTCAAGCCAGGCGACAGAGTGAGACTCTGTCTCAAAAAAACCAAATAAATGTTTCTGAAATAAGCTTTGGTAGGATCCTATGAGCTCACGTGATGGGTTTCCAACTATGATATGTGTTCAAAATTTGTTCTTTGACCCCACATTTTATTAGCTATATATTTGTCGTTGTTGTTGTTGTTGTTATTTTGAGATGCAGTTTCGCTCATTACCCAGGCTGGAGTGCAATGGCGAGATCACGGCTCACCACAACCTCTGTCTCCTGGGTTCAAGCAATTATTCTGCCTCAGCCTCCGGCGTAGCTGGTGTGCGACCCCCTTGTAGACCCCTGCCCGGTACCCGACCCCAAATAACAGCTTGAGAGTTGGAAGCCGAGTTCAGGTTTATTGGGACCAGCGGGCAGGCCAGGAAAGGAAGGAGATCGGGGGCTGGCTGCGACTGCGCAGCTGGGGTAGGAGGGTTTTATAGGGGGGGTGGACGGGGCGTGGACACAGGGCTGGCGGAGTGTCGTAGGAGCTTAGGATAGGCTGTCCGTCTCTGGGCAGACTGCTGAGGTGGCTCAGAGGGTTACGTGTCGGTTCAGGATAGGCCGAGGCTTGGCGGGCTTTCCTGCTGCGATGATTGGCTGCTTGTTGTTGCTGGGCAGAACAGAGCAGGCTTGGCGGGCTTTTCTCAGGGCAGCAGGAAGCCTGGGGGGAGGGTGGGGGCAAGAAACCTGGGGGAAAGATGGCGGGACTTTCTACCAAACAGCTGGGACTACAGGCATGCACCACCATGCCCAGCTAAATTTTGTATTTTTAGTAGAGACAGGGTTTCACTATGCTGAGCAGTATGGTCTCGATCTCTTGACCTTGTGATCCACCGGTCCGGCCTCCCAAAGTGCTGGGATTATAGGCGTGAGCCACCGCCCCCGGCAGCTATATTGTTTTTAACCATTTTAAAATTGTTTATTTCCAAAATTTATTATGTCCGGTTTACATTGAGAACTGTATGCTTTCTAGTCTATATCATATGGGGAAACATTTTCTACTACCTGAGAAATGATTTTAGGTTGTTTCAATGTGTACTTACTAAAGATAGTCGAGGACCGTTTTTCTTTCTGCTAACATCAAAATGTACTTCAAGTAGCCTGTTACTCCATTTTCTTCTGTCATCTGATGAATCGGTGAGCTGTGAGCTTCTACATAAACATTGCCCTCAAGTTCCTCTGCGCTATACTATTCTCTGCAGATGATCAAGCAGTTGGATTGACTTGGAAGCCTGTTTCAGCAGAACCCATGTGTTCATGAAGGAAACATTAGCTCACATCTCATTTCTACCACTGCCTCTCTTTCAGTGTTTTAAACACCTATAGCTATGTGTTCACAATTGTGTCTATTTTGAAAGTATTCCTGGCCGTGTGCACTGGTTCACGCCTATAATCCCAGCACTTTGGGAGACCGAGGCGGGTGGATCACAAGGTCAAAAGATCGAGACCATCCTGGTCAACATGGTGAAACCCCGTCTCTGCTAAAAATACAAAAATAAGCTGGGCATGGTGGTACGTGCCTGTAGTCCCAGCTACTCGGGAGGCTGAGGCAGGAGAATCCCTTGAACCCAGGAGGCGGAGGTTGCGGTGAGCTGAGATTGTGCCATTGCACTCCAGTCTGGGTAACAACAGCAAAACTTTGTCTCAAAAAAAAAAAAAGAAAAGAAAAGAAAAAAGAAAGCAAGTATTCCAGTAATTTTTCTGGGAAAATAATTACATGTTTAGGATTCATGCATGAGAACCTTAGGCATTGTAAGAGATCATTCTTTTGTTCAGATTTATAAAAGATGGTCCTGGGATTATTTTTGTTCCATTTTTTGAGACAGAGTCACTCTGTCACCCATCCTTGAGTGCAGTGACACAATCTTGGCTCATTGCTATTGCGGAGACCAGCTCCCAATATATCAGCGTGGATTCAATGTCTCTCAAAGTGATCGAGTGGTCGGTGAAAAGAAAGACAAAGAAACTTTTTTTTTTTTTTACAGCTGGGCCCTGGGAAGACACCATGTAATGCTGTGCCCTGGATGTCTAACGGGCCCCTGAAAACCTCAGTTTTTTATTAGGCTCTTTCAGTAGGGGAGGGTGAGTAAAGTTACACCACATTTCAGTGATAATTATACAAAAAGAAACATAAACTATTGACCAAAGATCACAATATGATATTGTAAAAGCGGAACCATGTAAAAATTACTTTTTGTGGGTCAGCATAAAAAACATGTACCTTAGCAAGAGTAGAGGTTAAACATCAACTTATAATTACCAGCCAGAAAGGCACTGGGCCCGCAGCCGCAGGGAGAATAGGATCTGACCCAGGACAAGCAGCCTGACCACAAAACTGCAAGAGGGGGAGCGCCCCCTGCAGGCCTGGAGGAGCAGTGGAAGACAGACTTTGACATGGTTATCTCAGCCCCTGAGGTTTTTCCCCACAACAGAGGCCCCTCCTGCATATGTTCATAGTCTCTCCACAGGGTCGCATTCCGTTTCCAGTGCCATAATTAATATGCCTTTCCTGGGAAAGAGATGTGCTTAATGAGCCTCTCCATTACACAACAGCTCAGCAGAGCCAAAGTTACAAGTTATAGCTCAGTTTTTCCCATTCTTTATTTTTCTCAAATATAATTGATAGAGTAAGAAACAAGCATCAGAAAGCAAATAACTCATTTCGGGGGTTAAAAATCAACTATTCCTTCTTGTTATTTTAGATAGATTGGGTTTTGCCAGTTCTTCCGTAAGCTTGGAGTTGCTCGGCTACCACCTAGGGGTCCAGAGTGTTCCCAGCAATGGCAACCTTTACCTTCCAGGCCCAAGCGACCCACCCCAGTCAGCCTCCCAAATAGCTGGGATTGCAGATGCACACCACCATGCCTGGCTAATTTTTTGTAGTTTTTAAAAATTTTTTTGAGATGTAGTTTCGCTGTTGTTACCCAGACTGGAGTACAATGGCATGATCTTGGCTCACCACAACCTCCGCCTGCTGGGTTCAAGCAATTCTTCTGCCTCAGCCTCCTGAGTAGCTGGGACTACATGTGCGCATCACCATGCCCAGCTAATTTTTGTATTTTTTTTTTTAGTGGAGATGGGGTTTCACCTTGTTGACCAGGATGGTCTTGATCTCTTGACCTTGTGATCCACCCGCCTTGGCCTCCCAAGGTGCTGGGATTATAGACATGAGCCACCGCGTCCGGCCTGTACTTTTGATAGAGATGAGATTTCACCGTATTGTGCAGGTTGGTCTCAGACTCCTGGGCTCACGTGATCGACCCACTTCAGCCTTCCAAAGTGCTGGGAATGCAGTGTGAGCTACCATGCCCTGCCCGTTCTGGAATTCTCTAGAGAAGGAAGACCAGTGCAACCTGTTGGCCCTCCCAGGCCATCACGTGGGAATCAGCCACACTTTTATTCTTATCAACTCAGAGTTTCTCAGGATAACTCAGTGTAATGTCTCTTGCTCTAAATCTCAGTGAGCCCACCTGTAATACACAGCTGTGGAATAAGACCACAGCAGCTCAAAGTGACACTGACCCCTGAAATGACTGACCAGATAGAGAGTTGCTTTTCCTGTAGGACAGGGTAATGCTCGGGTGTGATTTGAATTTTAAATGGATTCCAGTTCCCCTTAAATATAAAAAACACAAATACCAGAATGGAAAAAACAGGAAATTAGACCCAAATCACCTTGAACTTTTTCATGTCTCTGTGCACACCCTCTTACTTTTCTTATCAACTCATCTCTGGACTTTCACCCAGCTACATGGCTCCGTGTCCCCTGCAGGCCTTTCCCCTGAGCTCTGCAATCCTGTGTCCAGTTGGCTCCTCAGCTCTCTGCTGGGACATCACACAGACATCTCCACCCTCACGTTTTCATCAGTGACTTCCTAAACCCTCCTACACATTCCCTGCAGTCCTGCATGTCTCAAATGAGGGTGAAGTGTACTTCTGGGGGTTAGCCAAACTTGACAGCATGTATTTTAAATATGGGAAATAAACTGGAGTCTTGAGAGAACAAGTCCCCAAGGGGAGAGCAGAGCCAGAAAGTGGGGCTATGCTGGGCTGGTGCCCTCTGAGTGGAGCTCAGCCCTGACTTCACATTAGGGTTCTCAGGCATTTTACAAATACATTTTTTTGTTTGTTTGTTTTTTGAGGCAAAGTTTTGATCTTGTTACCCAGGCTGCAGTGCAATGGTGCGATCTCGGCTCACCGCAACCTCCGCCTCCTGGGTTCAAGCAATGCTCTAGCCTTGGCCTCTTGAGTAGCTGGGATTACAGGTACATGCCACCATGCCCAGCTAATTTTTTGTATTTTTAGTAGAGACGGGGTTTCACCATGTTGACCAGGGTGGTCTTGAACTCTGATCTCAGGTGATCCACCCACCTCAGCCTCCCAAAGTGCTGGGATTACAGGCAAGAGTCACTGCCCCCGACCAACTGAGTGGTTTCTAAACATTAAATAATTATCCGGTGCAATGCTTCACAACTTTAATCGCGGCTCTTTGGGAGGCTGTGGTGGGCAGAGCACAAGGTCACAAGATCGAGGCCATCCCGGGTGAGATGGTGAAACCTGAGTCCACTAAATATACAAACGTTAGCTGGGAATGGCAGCGTGTATTTGTAATCCCAGCTTTACAGGATGCTGAGGCAGGAGAATAGTTTTAATCTGGGTGTCAGACATTGCAGTGAGCTGAGATTGTGTTACTGAACCCCAGCCTGGCAACGGATGTAGATGTTGTCTCAAAAATAAATAAATAATTAAATTTCATATATTTTTTTCACATACAGGATTGATTTCCAAAGACTCATGTTACAAGCAAGCCACCAGGAAGACCAAGGAAAAGGAGCCCGGGATGCCTGTTGCTCAGGTAAAATAATCGTCCTCAGTGAATTACTCGGTTGTTTTTTGTTTCTGAAATGCCAGGTTTGTAGTAGCCTGTCTTCTGTGAGTCTGAAGCGTCCTGCCTGGCATGTGTGCTCACACTCACTCATGCCTTTTCTCAGTCCCTCCCATCTCCACTTAGATTCCATCTCCTATAACCCAGTGATGTGAGCTCGGGAAGAGGCTGCACTGGGCATGGTCCTGGGAAGGGCTCTCCCCAGACATGGATGGAGACGGCATATGGGCCTTGTGCTGTCTGTGGTGCTGGGCAGCAGGGAATGTTCAGGGGCCACATCTGGATGCACATGAAGCTTTTTGTGGACCAGATCAGAGAAACTGTATATGAGAGTCATACATTAATGTGCACTGGTATCTGAAGGGGAAAAGGAGACACGTTAGAGGAGCTATTTAGTGTCGATTTGGTAACGCATTTGAAGCTTCACTAGTGAGTCAATATGTCTCTGACTCCAAATTATTCTTTTTAATACAGATTATCACTCTGGAGCCCAGTCTGGAGTGCAGTGGTACAATTCTAGTTCACGGCAGCCTCGAACTCCTGGGTTCGAGTGATCCCCACCTTAGCCTCCCAAGGAGTTAGGACATCAGGCATGTGCCATCATGGCTACTCATTCTTTTATGTTTTACTATGTAGAGATGGGGGCTTGCTATGTTGTCCAGGCTGGAGTGACGTGGCAGAAACATAGGTCACTGTAACGTCGAACTCCTGGCCTCAAGTGATCCTCACACTTCATCCTCCCAAAGTGCTGGGTTACAGGTGAGACAGCCAGCACAGCAGGACACTGCACTTACAATGGCTTGGAATAGAATGGAAAGCGGAGATAAACATCAGTGGTACAGGTGGCTTTATTCCATCATTGACTTTAAATCATGTAATTAATATAAATATCTAACTGCGGAAGATTCTTCAAATCATTCTCAGTACATTGACCCCACAGAGACTGTTTTTTATTTTTATTTATTTTTTTGCAGGGCTCTGATGAAGCAGCATTTTAGGAAAATATGATTATAAGTTTGCTCTGACGTAAGACCAGAACTTATTTTGTTAAAGAAGATGAAAATTTTTCCCCAATGTTATTAAATGCTTTTTTATTTTAAACATCACACAACATATACGTGTGTTGCATAGAAAAGCTCCAAAGAAAGATGCACCATGCATCCCCTTTCCTGTCCAGCCTTCCACTTGTTTCCATGTCTCAATTGGGAATCAGTGTTAAGAGTTCTGTGGTGGCCAGGCATGGTGGCTCACGCCTTTAATCTCAGCACTTTGAAAGGCCAAGGTGGGCAGATCACGAGGTCAGGAGTTCGATATCAGCCTGATTAACATTGTGAAACCCCATCTCTACTAAAGATACAAAAAATTTTGGGGCATGGTGGCACACATTTGTAATACCAGCTACTAGGGAGGCTGAGGCAGGAGAATCACTTGAACCCAGGAGGCAGAGGTGGCAGTGAGCAGACATCATGCCACTGCATTCCAGCCCGGGTGAAAGAGCAAGACTCCATCTCAAAAAAAAACAAAAACAAAAACAAATAGCGTTCTGTGGCAAGTTGGCATAATCTTATAGAAATGTATTTATACATTTTTATGAGTTTTTTTTTCTTTAATTCTTTGATGAATGGATTTTTTTGCATATTTTTTGAGACAGGGTGTCACTCTGTCACCAGCCTGGAGTATAGTGGCACAATGCCACCTCTGCCTCTCAGAATCAAATGTGTCTCATACTGGAGCCAACTGAGTAGCCGCAATTACAGACATGAGCTACACCACCTAGGTAATTGTTGTATTATTGGTATAGATGGGGTTTCATCATGTTGGCCAGACTGATCTCCAACTCCTGGCCTTAGGATATCCTCCCACCTGGGCCTCCCAAAGTGCTGGAATTTTAGGTGTGGGCCCTTGTTGTCTTGGCCTGGTGAAAGTTTTGTTACCGTATTTTATCCTGAAAGTTTTCAAAATTTCCATGTTTCCAAGGTAGAAAACAAGACAGCTTGTTCCTTGAAATTCTCCTCAAAGCATTCTCTGAATGAAGACTTGTGAGTTTTTGACAGTTTTTTTTCTATTCTTTTGTTTTTTTGAGGCGTTTCATTCTTTTTGCCCAGGCTGAGGTGCAGTTGTGCAATGCCTCTGTCTCCCAAGTAGGTCGGATTATAGGCATGCACCTCTATGTCCAGTTACTTTATTTTCAGTAGAGATTGGGTTCACCATGTTGGCCAGGCTGGTTTTGAACTTCGGATATCAGGTGATCCCCCCGCTTCGGCCTCTCAAAGTGCTGGGATTACAGGCATGGCCCACCGCACCCGGTTTGGTTTTTTTTTTGGTTTGGTTTGGTTTGGTTTCAGACTGAGTCTCCCACTACTGCCCAAGCCGAAGTTCAGTGGCATCATCTGTGCTCACTGTAACCTTCACCTCCCAGGTATAAGCGATTCTCCTGCCTCTTAATCCTCAGCTGGGGATTACAGGTGTCCACGACCATGCATAACTAACTTTGTATTTATAGCAGAGATGGGGCCTTACCCTGTTGACCTGGCTGGTCTCAAACTTCTGACTTCACATGATCTCCTTGAAAGTATTTTGCTGTTACCGAGAATAACACTGGCTACATGCAAGTGTGGTGATTTCACTGCAAAGTCCGGCTACTCAAGAACTGATTGCTTATCCTTGAATTTGCTGTTTCCTCTTTTAGATATGGGAAGATTTCATCCCTACCCCCAGTTGCAATGGTGCCCTCTCTGCCTGAGAACATGAGAAATTTGTTTTGAGACGGAGTTTCACATTTGTTACCCAGACTGGAGTGCAATGGCAGGATCTCAGTTCACCGCAACCTCCACCTCCTGGGTTCAGGCAATTCTTTTGCCTCAGCTTCCTGAGTAGCTGGGACTACAGGCACCCGCCACCATGCCCAGCTAATTTTTGTACTTTTAGTAGAGACGGGGTTTCATCTTGTTGACCAGGATGGTCTCGATCTCTTGACCTTGTGATCCACCTGCCTCAGCCTCCCAAAGTGCTGGGATTACAGGTGTGAGCCACCGCACCTGGCCAACCTGGAAGATTTTTTCAAGAGTTCTCTGCTGTTCTTCAGCATAGATTAGCTTCTCTGTCGCTCAGGTGACCCTTCATCCTGGGTTTCATTCCCACTGTTCAGGCTCCACTTGCCAAGTCCAGCTCAGCCATGGAGACCCCAATCCAGACGGTGCTGAAGGAATTAAGAAACAGACACAGAAAGCAAAAGGCGGGTTGAGAGTGAGGCACCGGGGATCTCACAGCATTTTTATCTGAGAGCCCAGAGCAGACTCTGACCCACGTACTTGTTCCAGTGACAAGTTGTACAAGCGGAAGCTCTTTATTTGCTTTCATTGGTTATAACCAGGCAGCTAGTGCACATTTACAATAGGTTAAAGATAAATGGGAAAACTCTGTTGAAGAGGGAAGAAAGAAAAGAGTCCCATATCCTGTGTTCAAAGAACGAATTCATCTGGAGTGAGACATACTCATATTCGTTACTGTTTTATAACCCTGGGAGCAGTTTTCTGCTCTGGGGGCCAACTAGGTTTTTCTTGCTGCTGCTCTCAGCAAACAGTATGATTTAAACACAAGTCAGAATTTTCTCAACAATAATGTTTGTCGTAGGTCTCTTAGGTTTATTATACTTGGATATTCTTAAGATTTTGAATGTCTCTTTTGCCTTCTGAAATTAGGACATTTTGACCATTATGTCCTCCAACAGCCTTTTCTGTTCCTTTCTCCCTCTCAGTGTCTTCTGGGACTTCTGGGATGTTTTTTTTTTCCTTTTTGACAAAGTTTTGCTCTGTCGCCCAGGCTAGAGTGCAGTGGTACAGTCACGGCTGACTTCAAGCTCTGTCTCATGGGTTGGAGTGATTCTCTCACCTCAGCCTTCCAAGTAGCTTCAATTACAGGTGCACACCACCACACCTGGCTAATTGTTGTATTTTTGGTAGAAACAGAATTTCACCATGTTAGCCAGGCCGGTCTTGAACTCCTGACCTCAGGTGATTTCCCCCACCGTGGCTTCCAACATGCTGGAATTACAGGCCTGAGCCACCCCGCCCGGCCTGAGACTTTCATAAGGTGTAGGATGTTGTCCTTGATGGCGTCCTGTTAGTCTGTTTAGACTCCTTTTATTTTGATTCATTCTTTGTTGTCATTGTTTCTTTTCCTCTTCACTAATTTTTGGTTGTTATTGAGATGGAGCTTTGCTCTTGATACCCAGGCTGCAGTGCAGTGGCGCGATCTCAGCTCAATGCAACCTCTGCCTTTCTGGCTCCAGTGATTCCTGCCTCAGCCTCTCAAATAGCAACTGCCACCACACCAAGCTAAGTTTGTATATTTAGTAGAGACAAGGTTTCACCATAATGGCCTGGGTGCTCTCTCAACTCCTGACCTCAAGGCATTTGCTCATCTAGGCCTCCCAAAGTCCTGGGATTTCCTGTGTGACCCAGCTCACCCTTTCTCTCTTCACTAATTTATAATTGACATAATGAGTTCTAATTTTAAACTCATGTATTGAGTTTTTCCATTTAGTTACTGTATTTTTAGCTCCAGAGTTTATGTGTAGTTCTTCGTAATATCTGTATCTTGGTTGACCTTCTCATTTTCTTTATGCATTACTTTTATGATTTCTTGAAGTTGTCTCTTAATTGAGTAAGCTTCCAATTCTTTGCGAGGTGGTGGTGATGGAATCTCACTTTGTCACCCAGGATGGAGTACGGTGGTGCAATCCTGGTTCACTTAAACCTCTGCTCTCCAGGGTCACGCAATCTTCCCACCTCAGCCGGGAGAGTAGCTGTTGATGTGTGTTCTCTTTTTTTTCCTCCTGTTTTTAAAACCATGATGTGTATTCTCTAGCTTTATTCTTGTAATATTTGAACTGAAATTAATGGTAAGTGTGTGTGTGGATGTGATTTAAAGGGTGTGCAGGAGTGCATTAATGGATAAGACCATGATTTTATTTATTGACTGATTGATTGATTGAAGCAGCTCTCACTCTGGCGACAGGCTGGCGTGTAGTGGCGCTGTCTCGGCTAACTGCAACCTCTGCCTCTAGGTCGAGTGATTCTCCTGCCACAACCTTCTGGGAGTACAGCCGCGCGCCACCACACCGAGCTAATTTTTGTATTTTTAGTAGAGACGAGGTTTGACCATGTTGGCCAGGATGGTCTCGATCTTTTGAACTTGTGATCAGCTCTCCTCAGTCTCCATAAGTGCTGGCATTATAGGAGTGAGTCATCGTGCCCTGCCAAGCCCATGGTTTGTGTAGGAACACATCATTTGCATGCACTGTCACTCTCCCTCTTTATCTCTATACACACACACACACACACACACATATGTATTTAATATCCGTATCTATATATATGTGTGTGTAGGTAGATAGATAGATAGATAGATAGATGATAGATAGATAGATAGATAGATATTTTTTTGAGACAGAGTTTTGCTCTTCTTACCCAGGCTGGAGTGCAATAATGCAATCATGACTCACTGCAACCTCCGCCTCTTGGGTTCAAGCAGTTCTACTGCCTCAGCCTCCCGAGTAGCTGGGATTACAGACGTGCGCAACCATGCCCAGCTATTTTTTGTATTTTTAGTAGAGACAGGGTTTCACCATGTTGACCAGGATGGTCTCGATCTCTTGACCTTGTGATCCACCTGCCTTGGCCTCCCAAATACCTGGGATTATAGGCGTGAGCCACCGTGCCCAGCCTAATATCTATATATATTTTTAGAAAGAGTCTTGCTGTGTTGCCCAGGCCAGAGTGCAGTTGGGTGATCGTAGCTTACTGTAACCTCTGCCTTCAGGGTTCAAGCAATTCTCCTGTGTCGTTTTCCTGAACAGCTGGGATTACGGGTGCTTTCCCCCACCATGCCCAGCTAATTTTTTAACTTTTAGTAGATACTAGGTTTTGCCAGGTTGGCTAGATGTGTCTCAGATTCTTTATGTCAGGTGATTTACCCACCTCAGTCTCCCATTGTGATAGGATTACAGGTCTGAGTCACTATGCCTAACCTTATTTACATACATATATATGTTTTTTGAGACGAAGTCTCACTCTGCAGCTCAAGCTGGAGTGCAGTGGTGTAATCTTGGCTCACTGTCAAATTCACCTCTAGGGTCCAAGTGAATCTATTCTCTCACCCTCTCAAGTAGCTGGGACAAGAGCCTTCTGCCACTGCGCCCAGTTAATTTTTTTTGTATTTGTAGTAGAGACTGGGTTTTACCGTGCTGCCCTGGGTGATCTCAAAATAGTAAGCTCCTGTGATCCACCAATCTCAGCCTCCCAAAGTGCTGGGATTCTCGGTGAAAGCCTCCACACCCAGCCGTATAATTTTTACATTGTCCATAAAATAGACGTCCACACTAGCTTACAGGATTTTAAAATTTATTACAGAGAAGTACAATAAAAAGCAACTATACAGAAAAAATGTTCAAAGGTAGCAAATGTGGATTTTTCCTAACAGAATCTGGGATCAAATCAATACTTATTTTCTTGTTTCTGTTTTTTTTTTTTCTGTTTCTTTTTTTTTTTTTGAGACGGAGTTTTCCTGTTGTTACCCAGACTGGAGTAAAACGGCGCGATCTCGGCTCACCGCAACCTCCCCCTCCTGGGTTCAATTAATTCTCCTGCCTCAGCCTCCTGAGAAGCTGCGACTAAAGGCGTGCACCACCATGCCCAGCTCATTGTTGTGTTTTTAGGAGAGACGAGATTTCACCTTGTTGACAAGGATGGTCTCGATCTGTTGACTTTGTGATTCACCTGACTGGGCCTCCCAAAGTGCTGGAATTACAGGCGTGACCCACTGCGCCCGGCCTTAATACTTATTTTCTTTTTCATTTCATGTGAAGGTGATAACTGACTCCTCCATGTTTTGTTGAAATGTGTTTTTCATTTTAGGGACACTTGACTTTCAGGGATGTGGCTGTAGAATTCTCTTTGGCGGAGTGGAAATGCCTGACCTCTGTGCAGAGGGCTTTATACAGGGACGTGATGATGGAGAACTACAGGAACCTGGAGTATGTGGGTGAGGAAAACGTCCCTCCACACACAAGGAATCTGCCCTTATCCATCTGGGCTCTTCCTGGTATGTATTCTCTGTTGCAGTTTTGCCCCATATATGCTTTTGATGTACACGTCATTGTTTTCTGCAGTGATGACGCTATCGGGCATGGATAGCTTCTTAGGGACTCTCCTATGCAGTGGCTTTACATAAAAACAGAAAATTCATGAACACATGGACAAATACAGTAGAACATCATCCTGCTCTACGCAGAGATGCCCCTGGAGGTACTGAGCAGAATTGTCTGCATGGTCCAGGATACGAGATACAAAGCATGACACTGGACCGGGCGTGGTGGCTCATGCCTATAATCCCAGCATTTTGGGAGGCCGAGGCGGGTGGATTATGAGGTCAAGAGATCGAGACCATCCTGGTCAACAAGGTGAAACCCCTTCTCTACTAAAAACACGAAACTTAGCTGGGCATGGTGCTGCGCGCCTGTATTCCCAGCTACTTGGGAGGCTGAGGCAGGAGAATTGCTTGAACCCAGGAGGCGGAGGTTGCGGTGAGCCGAGATTGTGCCATTGCATTCCAGTCTGGGTAACAACAGCAAAACTTTCTATCAAGAAAAAAAAAAAAAAAAAAGAAAGCATGACACTGACTGACAAGTGTTTCCAGCCGTGGTTTTGACTATTTGTTTCTGAGACAGTCTCCCTCTGTTGCCCACACTGGTGTACACTGTCATGATCTCCGCTCTGCATCCTGCACCTCCTGGGTTCAAGCAGTTCTCTTACCTCAGCCTCTCAGACTAACTGGAATTACAGGAACATGCCATTGTATTTTTAGTAGAAATAAGGTATCACCATGTTGGCCAAAGTGGTCTCGAACACGTGGTCTCAACTCATCTGCCTGCTTCAGCCTCTGCCCAAGTGTTGGGATTACAGGTGTGAGCCATCATGCCTGGACTCTCATTCCAGGTTTTGAGGAGCATCACAGAAGCCTCTCTCACAGGCACTATCCCAGTGTTCTTCACATAAAGTAATGATCCTTTTCTCTAAGCAGCACTGACTGCTGCAGAAATTCCTCCTAGAAAGGACATCATTCAGGCTCACTGCCTCATATATATAAGGCTCTTGACTGAGGTCTTTTTTTATTCTGACATGGAATTTTGCTCTTCTTACCCAGGCTGGAGTGCAGGGGTGAAATCTCCACTCACTGCAACCTTCGCCTTTTGGGTTCAAGCAATTCGCCTGCTTCAGCCTCCTGAGTAGCTGGGATGTACAGGCATTCACCACCATGTCTGGCTAATTTTTGTCTTTATGATAGAGATGGGTGTTCTCAAACTTTCACGATCACATTTGGGAAGTTTAAAATAACTATTGTTCTTGATGTAATATTTGCACATTTCCATATTAACCATTACCATTTGTACCTAACTGGAATCCTGTTGGTCTTTATGTTTTTCAGATAGCTTTTTAAAATCCATAATGGAGTTCTCATCAACAGGGCAAGATAGTACAAGAGAAGGGATCCACACAGGGACATTGGGAAAATGTACAAGCCATCACATTGGAGATTCTTGCTTCCCAGAAGTTGAGAAAGATATTCATGAGTTTGAGTTTCAGAGGCAAGAAGTCAAAGGAAATGGCCATGAAGCACTCATGACAGAACCCAAGGAGTTGACTGGTAGTATAGAGCCATATGATGATGGGTGTGCTGGCAGGAAGCCTATTGGAGATCAGCTTGGGTTAAGCTTCCATTCGCATCTGCCGGAACTGCACGTATTTCAGACCGAAGGGAACATTGATAATCAGCTAGAGACGTCTGCCAATGATGATTCCTCAGTTTCAACAGGCCAAAACATTTCTTGTAGGCTCAAAACCCATGTCTCTAACAAGCATGAGAATAATGTCCTCCATTCTTCATTATTCACACAAAAACAGGAAGTACACATGAGAGAAAAACCTTTCCATTGTAATGAGTGTGGCAAAGCCTTTCATAATAGTTCACTCTTAAGGAGACATCAGCTAACCCATTCAGGAGAGAAACAAAACAAATGTGATGTGTGTGGCAAAGTCTTTCCTAAGAAGCACAACCTTGTAAGTCACCATAGAGTTCATACTGGAGAGAAATCTTACAAGTGTAATGAGTGTGGCAAGACCTTTACTCAGAAGTCATCCCTGCAGTGCCATCATAGAATTCACACGGGAGAGAAACCTTACACATGTAATGCATGTGGTAAGAGTTTTAGTAGAACATCACACCTTGCACGTCATCAGACCCTTCACACTGGAGAGAAACCTTACACATGTAATGAATGTGGTGAGAGTTTTAGTAGAAAATCACACCTTGCATGTCATCACATATTTCATACTGGAGAGAAACCTCACAAATTCAAGGTTTTTGACAAGGTTGTCCGGTGTCATTCATGTCTTCTAGAGCATCAGAGAATGCACACTGGAGAGAAACCTTACAGGTGTAATGAGTGTGGCAAGACCTTCAGCCGGAAGTCATCCCTGCAGTGCCATCATAGAATTCACACTGGAGAGAAACCTTACAAGTGTAATGAGTGTGGCAAGACCTTCAGCCAGAACTCATCCCTGCAGTGCCATCGTAGGATTCACACTGGAGAGACACCTTACAAGTGTAATGAGTGTGGCAAGACCTTCAGCCGGAAGTCATCCCTGCAGTGTCATCATAGAATTCACACTGGAGAGACACCTTACAAGTGTAATGAGTGTGGCAAGACCTTCAGCCAGAACTCATCCCTGAAGTGCCATCGTAGGATTCACACTGGAGAGAAACCTTACACATGTAATGAATGTGGCAAGGTTTTTAATAAACAAGCACTCCTTTCACGTCACCGTAGACTTCATACTGGAGAGAAACCTTACAGTTGTGAAGAATGTGACAAAGATTTTAGTTGCAAATCACACCTTGAAAGACATAAAAGAATTCATACTAGAGAGAAACCATATAAATGTAAGGTTTGTAACAAGGCTTTTGGGCGTAATTCATACCTGGCACAACATCAGAGAGTTCATACTGGAGAGAAACCTTACAAGTGTAGTGAGTGTGGCAAGACCTTCAGTCAGATGTCATCCCTTGTAGTCCATCATAGACTTCACACTGGAGAGAAACCGTATCAGTGTAGTGACTGTGGCAAGACCTTCACTCAGATGTCATCCCTTGTATATCATCGTAGACTTCATACAGGAGAGAAACCTTATCAGTGTACTGAGTGTGGCAAGGCCTTCAGTCGGATATCATCCCTTAGATGCCATCGGAGACTTCATACAGGAGAGAAACCTTAGTGTAATGACTGTGGGAAAACCTTCAGTCAGGTGTTATCCCTTGCATGCTATCATAGATTTCATACTGGAGAGTAACCTTACCAGTGTACTGAGTGTGGCAAGGCCTTCAGTCGGATATCATCCCTTAGATGCCATCGGAGACTTCATACAGGAGAGAAACCTTAGTGTAATGACTGTGGGAAAACCTTCAGTCAGGTGTTATCCCTTGCATGCTATCATAGATTTCATACTGGAGAGTAACCTTACCAGTGTACTGAGTGTGGCAAGGCCTTCAGTCGGATATCATCCCTTAGATGCCATCGGAGACTTCATACAGGAGAGAAACCTTAGTGTAATGACTGTGGGAAAACCTTCAGTCAGGTGTTATCCCTTGCATGCTATCATAGATTTCATACTGGAGAGTAACCTTACCAGTGTACTGAGTGTGGCAAGGCTTTCATTCAGATGTCATGTCTTACATACCATCGTAGACCTCATACTGGACAGTAACCTTACAAGTGTCATATACAGGGTCCAGCCCCCCTGGGTCTGTTGGGTGTTCTTTTGTGTGTGGAGAAGACAAAGGAAAGAAAGACAGAAGACAGAGATAAGAAAAGAGTTGAGCTGGACCCAGGAGACCACTATTAGTAAGGTGAAGAGCCCAGTTGTGGCCCCGAATGCCTGGACATGCTGATACTTATTGTATACAAGGCAGGGGGGCAGGGTAAAGAGTGACTCATCTGACATGATTGATAGGGTCAGGAAAATCACATGCTTACAGCACAGGGGCCCTCCCTTTCGGGTAGCCCCTTCAAGGAGGGGAGGCACATATGTCAGCATCTTTCTATGCACTTCTCAGAAAGATCAAAGGCTTCTAGGATTCCTGTATTTTCATGCCTTCTAAGAACATGAAAAGAGCACCAGGTTGGAAAGCAAAACGTGAAAGTGAATAAGGATGGTGACCATCAGAACACAGCACCGCAGAGAGACATTTAAGCCTCTAGAGGCTGGACATGGTGGCTTACGCCTATAATCCCAGCACTTCGGGAGACGGAGGCAGATGGATCACGAGGTCAAGAGATCAAGACCATCCTGGTCAACATGGTGAAAACTTGTCCCCATTAAAAATACAAAAAAATTAGCTGGGCATGGTGGCTCGCACTTGTAGTCCCAGCTACTTGGGAGGCTGAGGCAGGAGAATTGCTTGAACACAGGAGGTGGCAGTTGCAGTAAGCTGAGATCACGTCATTGCACTCCAGCCTGGGTAACAATAGTGAAATGCTTACCTCAGAAAAAAAACGTAGCCCCTGGTTGTCTGCAGGCTGCCCTGGCCAATATCAGGCCTTCCTCACGGGTCAAGGTTTTCTGAAATCCCCCAATGAAAAAGAAACTCCCTTTCATGGCCTGCTAAGTAGAGGGCACTTTCTGAGCTGCTGACACTACAGCAAGGCACTCTCCCCTCCTGATCACTTCTCACAATGTCCCTCCCGTTCCTAATTATATTTCACCTGATTATGTCTATATTATGTGACTGAAGTGATCCTGTGGTATACTACTAAACCAAAGGTTAATAATAGTGATTAAATAGGATTTTTATATAATTGATTATGTGATTCTTTCTAATATATTTGGCATCATAGGTAAAGCTAAGTAATCATTTCTTATACTGGGGCAGATCGTGCCTGCAGTCTTTTGCTTTGGCACCTGGGCAACTTTCTTCCCAGGTAATGTGTGGGAGGACCTTCAGGCAGACGTCATCTCTTGTAGTTTATTGTCAACTTAATACTGGAGAGAAACCTTAGAAGTGTAATGAGTGTGGCAAGCGCTTCACTTGAAATTCAGCCCTTGTAATTCCTAAGGCACTTTATTCTGGAGAGAACCTGACAAGTGTAATGAGTGTGGCAACATCAGAGAGCTAATACTGGAGAGAAATCACACACACACATGTAATGAGTATAGCAAAGCCTTCAATGTGCAGTCAGCGCTTACCACGATCAGGTGGTCCATGGTATAGGGAAACTATTAATGTGATGACTCTCACATAGTCTTCTGTCAAGGGAGACTAGGCTTCTGTGAAGGGAGATCTTACAAGTGTAATGAATGCGGCAAATTGTTCGGACCTTGTTCGTAGCTTGCAGTTGATCAGCATACTCATACTGGAGAGAAACCTTACAAATGGCAGGATTGTAGCAAGGTCTTCAGTCAAGCTTCATCTTATGCAAAACATAAAATTCACACAGGAGAGAAACTCCACAAGTGTCATGATTGTGGCAAAGCCTTTACTTCACGTTCCTACCTCCTTAGACATTAGACGAGGGAGAGAAGGGGAAATTGAGAGAGATGTACAGAATGAAGGAGGGAAACTAATGAAGAAAGGGCCTGGGCGCAGTGGCTCACACCTGTAATCCCAACAATTTAATAGACTGAGGCAAGGGGATTGGTTGTGTTCAGTAGTTCGAGGCCATCCTGGGCAGCATAGTGAGACCTTCATCTCTGCCAAAAAAAAAAACTCAACAGGGCGTGACAGTACACAGCTATAATCCCACCTACTCTGAAGGCTGAGACAGGAGAGTCTCGAGCTCAGGAGGTCCAGACTGCAGTTAGCCAAGATCATGTCATTGCACTCCAGCCTGGTCAACAAAGTGAGATCCTGTCTTTAAAAAAAAATAATGTGAGGGGGCCGAGGGGCTGGGCACAGTAGCTCATGCCTGCAAAACCAGCACTTTGGGAGGCCGAGGTTGGTGGATCATCTGAGATCATGAGTTCGAGATCAGCCTGACCAACATGATGAAACCCCGTCTCTAAAAATAAATTAGCTGGGTGTGGTGGTGGGCGCTGTAATCCCAGCTACTGGGGAGGCTGAGACAGGAGAATTAACTTAGGAGGTGGAGGTCGTACTGAGCTGAGATCACGCCATTGCAGTCCAGTCTGCACAAGAGCGAAACTCCATTTAAAAAGAAAAGGGGGAAGACTGATCCAAGATGGCTGATTGCTAACATCTCGGGATTGCAGCTCTCAGTGAAGGTGCGGAGAACTAGAGGACGCCACACTTTCAGACAAATTCTGGTCACTCACGCATCAGAAGATCCCCAGTGGAGGAATCACACGGGTCGCCAGCACGACTTTCGTGGCCGGCGCAGCGGTTCCGCTGGCGCCTCGGCGCAGCAGCTCGGAGCAGAGTAAACAGGTTCGGAGGACCCACAAGGGCCGCCAGCACAACACCAGAGCCCAGCACAGTGGCTGTGATGGCACCTTGGCACGGCAGCGCTCTGAGCAGAGGCTCAGAGTAAATGGGACCAGCTCCCCTTCTGACCAAGGTTTGGAGCCCCGGGAAGGCAGAGTTGCCCACTACGGACACAAGAAGGAAGCCAGACAAGAGAATCCTGGGCAGAAAAGCACCATCAGTTTTAATGCCGCTGCTCTGGCCCGGGGAACTAACAACCTGGACGTCCACCCAAGAGACCTAATCTGAAAGTTGGTAATTTCAAAGACCACAGGAGGATAAATTTACAATGACGGGAAGAAACCAGCATAAAAAAGCTGAGAATACTCAAAGTCAGAACGCCTCTCCCTCTAAAGATGATCACAGTTCCACATCAACAATGGAACAAGGCTTGATGGAGAACAAGCGCATCCCAATGCTAGAATATCGCTTCAGGGAATGGATAATAACAAACTTCGGTGAGTTAAAAGAACATGTGTAGCCCAACGTAAAGAAACTAGGAACTGTGAAAAAAAGTTTGATGAAATCCTATTGAGAATAGACAACTTAGAGAGGAGTATGAGTGAAATAATGGAACTGAAGAATACAATACAGGAACTCCGAGAAGTTTGCACGAGTTTAAACACTCGAATTGTTGAAGCAGAATAAGAGATATCAGAGGTCAAAGTCCAACTTAATGAAATAAAACGTGAAGAAAAGATTAGAGAAAAAAGGAATGAGCAAAGTCTCCAAGAAATATGGGACTATGTGAAAAGACCAAATTTACGTTTGATAGGTGTACCTGAATGCGACGGAGAGAATGAGTCCAAGCTGGAAAATACCCTTCAGGATATTATTCAGGAAAATTTTCCTAAACTATCAAAGCAGGTCAACATTCAACCCCAGGTAATACAGAGAACACCACAAAGATATTCCTCAAGAAGAGCAACCCCAAGGCACATAATCGTTAGATTCACCAAGGTTGAAATGAAGGAGAAAATACTAAGGGCAGCCAGAGAGAAAGGTCAGGTTACCCACAAAGGCAAGCCTATCAGACTTAGAGCAGATCTCTCAGCAGAAACCCTACAAGCCAGAAGAGAGTGGGGACCGATATTCAACATCCTCAAAGAACAGAACTTTCACCCAGAATTTCATATCCAGCCAAACTAAGCTTCACAACTGAAGGAAAAATGAAATCTTTTATGAACAAGCAAGAACTCAGAGATTTTAATACTACCAGGCCTGCTATACAAGAGCTTCTGAAAGAAGCATTAAACACAGAAAGAAACAACCAGTATCAGCCCTTCTAAAAATATACCAAAAAGTAAAGAGCACCAACACAAAGAAGAATTTACACCAATGAATCCATAAAACAGCCAGTTAACATCAAAGGGCAGTAACCGTAAATTTAAATTGACTAAATCCCCCAATCAAAAGACACAGCCAAAACCCAACGGCATGTTACATCCAGACCTGTTTCACAGGAAAGAATACACAAAGACTCAAAGGGATGGAGAAAGATTTACCAACCAAATGGAGAGCACAAATAAACAAATAAATAAATAAAAAGCAGGAGTTTCAATTCTCGTATCAGATAAAATAGATTTTAAAGCAACAAAGATATAGTGGTAAAAGGATCAATGCAACAACAAGAGCTAACGATCCTAACACCCAGATACATAGAGGCTTAGACACAATGAGACAGAAAATTAATAAGGATATCAAGGACTCGAACTCAGATCTGGAACAAGTAAACTTAATAAATATTTATAGAGCTCTCCACTTCAAATATACAAAATAAACATTCTAGTCAACACCACATCACATGTACTCATAGGTTTAAATGAAACATTGATTGGCCATTATTAATACCCTTTTTTTTTTTTTAAGAATAAAGCAATATTTCCACTCACTCTCCCTCTTTCTCTTCCTCTTTCTTCCTCTACTTTACTCATTTTTTCTTCTTTCCTTCACTCAAATAAAAAGAAATCAACTTGTAAACCTCTAGATCCAGGTCGGCAATGTCACTCTCATTGCTTGAATTCCTTCCTGCCCTTCCCTCCCTCCCTCCCCCCTTCCTTTCTTCCTTCATCCCTCCCTTCCTCAAAAAAAAAGAAAAAAGAAAAGGGTAGGCTTGGCGCGGTGGCTCAAGCCTGTAATCACAGCACTTTCGGAGGCCGAGGCAGGTGGATCACGAGGTGAAGAGATCGAGTCCATCCTGGTCAACATGGTGAAACCCTGTCTCTACTAAAAATGCAAAAACTTAGCTGGGCATGGTGGCCTGTGCCTTTAATCTCAGCTACTCAGGAGGCTGAGGCAGGAGAATTGCTTGAACCCAGGAGGCGGAAGTAGCGGTGAGCCGAGATCTCACTATTGTACTCCAGCCTGGGTAACGAGTGAAACTCCATCAAAAAACAAACAAAACAACTTAAACTTACTGAATTATACAGGTGAGACTGAGAATTTTAAAATTCCTATCTCTATGACATATATTCTATAAATCATGGCATCAGAGGTTAGATTCCACATGGAATCTCTATTTAGCTAGAGGGCAGTGACTTATTTAGTTGTGAGTCACTCTCTTCTCCCAGGGTGGGGTAGGAAGTGGCAAAGTGAAGTGAAAAAATACCACTTCTGTTATTACATAATACTTTTAATTAATTAGTATTCTGAGACAGGATCTGGCTGTGTCGCCCAGGCTGCAGTGCAGTGCGTGATCTCCTGTAACTGCAGCCTCGGCCTCCTGGGCTCAAGCAGTCCTCATACCTCAGCATCTTGAGTACCCGAAACCACAGGCATGAGGCATCAAGCCAGGTTCTTCTTGTGCGTGTAGAAACGGGGTTTCCAGGCTGGTCTTAAAGGAATCTCCTGCCTTGGCCTTTAAAAGTACTGGGATTAGGCCGGGTAGTGGGTAAAAGTAGTGGCTCGTGACTGTACTCCAAGCACTTTGGAGGCCAAGGCAGGGAGTTCTAGACCAGCCTGACCAACATGGTGAAACCCTGTCTTAAAAAAACAAAAAGTACTAGGATGACTGAGGTTAGCCCGTGTGCCTGTCCTACATAGTCATTTTTTTTTGGTTTGTTTTGTTTCTTTTTAGATGGGATATTGTTCTTGTAGCTCAGGCTGGAGTGCAGTAGTCCAATCTCAGCTCACTGTAATCTTTGCATTCCAGATTCAAGCGATTCTCCTCCTCAGCCTCCGGAGTAGCTGGGATTACAGGCATGTGTCACCACACGCAGCTCCTTTGTATTCTTAGTAGAGATGGGGTCTCTCCATGTTTCTCAGGCATGTCTGAAACTTCTGACCTCGGGGGATTCACCTGCCTGGACCTCCCCAAGTGCTGGGATTACAGGTGTGAGCCACCATGCCTGGCTTATAGTAGTTTTTTTTCTTTACCCCAAAACCCCATTTTAAAATTTTCTTATTTTGTGTATTTATTTATTTTTGCTCATAGTACTTTTTAAAAGGGACATCAAAGCCTGACATGGTGACTCTCACCTATTATCCCAACACTTTGGGAGACTGAGGTAAGTGGATAACGTAAGGTCAGAGTTCAAGACCAGCCTGGTCAGCAAGGTGAAACTTGACCTATGCGCGGGGCTGAAGACAGAATGGGCCAGGTCAGCTGTGAAGCTTCATGAGATTAGCGGTGGTGGGGCTGCCTGGCCCAGCTGCCATGGAGGAACTGAGGGGCCACTGCACAGTTTTCAACTGATTGATGGGCCAACAGCCTGGGTGCTTCTCTGGGCCCTCATGTCCGGGCCCAAGCGTGGGTAATTTCAGGATTTGATGGCTCAGGGCTTGTGTTGAAGCTCAGGAAAAAGAGGAACTGGTTTCTAAGCTGCCACACATCAGAGCCATAGCCCCATCCTCAAACGAAACAGGTGATCTTTAGAGAGGCTTCAGGCCTGAGAGTTTGTGTTTGGGGCCTTTTTTTTTTTTTTTCTTTTTTCTTTTTTGAGACAGAGTTTCACTCTTGTTCTCCAGGCTGGAGTGCAATGGTACATCTCAACTCGACTCATCTCAACATTTTTTCCTAGGTTCAAGTGAATCTCCCCCCTTCACCCTTCCTAGTAGCTGGGATTACAGGCATTTGCCACCACACCTGGCTACTTTTTTATCTTTAGTGGAGATGGGGTTTATCCATGTTGGTCAGGCTGGTCTCAAACTCCGGACTCAGGTAATCCTCCCGCCTGGGCCTCCCAAAGTGCTGGGATTAAAGGCGTGGACAACCGCGCCTGTCCTTTAGGACTTTTTAACCTGTGATTTTGTGTGGAGCCATATCAGAGGGTCGTGTCTTTGTGAGAGTGCAAGCGTGTCGTGCTTTCCAACTTCAGTTGACATTAGTCACTTTTTTTTTCTCTTGAGTCAAAATCTCACTTTCTTACCCAGACTGCGGGGCAGTGATTCAATTTTGGCTCCCTGCAACCTCTGCCTTCCGGATTCAAGCGATTCTCCTTCCTCAGCCTCCTGAGTAGCTGGGATTACAGGCATGCACCACCAGGCCCGGCTGATTGTTTGGGTTTTTAGTAAGGGTCGGTGGGATAGGAGTTGGTTTTATGGGCTTTGGGGTGGGCAATGGAAAGTTACAGGAGTTACAGTTTAGGGCGGTTTTCTGCAAGCTGGGAGGGGCCGGGCGTGGTGGCTCACACTTGTAATCCCAGCACTTTGGAGGCCAAGGCGGGCGGATCACCTGAGGTCGGGAGTTCAAGACCAGCCTGACCAACATGGTGAAACCCCCTCTTTAAAAGAAAAAATGCTGAGAGGGGGGTCATAGGGTGTGGAGTCACAAGGTTGACCAAGGTCGGTTACAAAGTCCAATGTTCTTATCAATTGGGGCAGGCATAAGGAATAGAGAATGTCTCAGTTAAGCAGGCGCCGCAGGTGTTGATTATTTCTTTCTCATTTTTCGGTCTTGCAGCTTTCTCGGGTTTTCTGATTCGGGAATGCCCTCGCCCTCCAGAGGTGTACCTGCGGTTCACCGGGGTTGCCTCGCCGTCCAGGGCAGGGTCAGACCTTACAGAAAAGAGAGGATTTCTGTGCTGTTCTGTGGGCCGTCAGGATGCAACTGTACGTTTCCCTCAAGCTGGACTTTACATTTCACCGTCCAGTTTACGTTCCTGCCCTAGACAACTTCGAGGCTTTGGAATTAAATTGCCAAAAGTCAGCACTTTGGGAGGCCGAGGCGGGTGGATCAAGAGATGGAGACCACCCTGGTCAACATGGTGAAATCCCGACTCTACAAAAAATTAGCCGGGCATGGTGGTTCGTGCCTGTAATCTCAGCTACTCGGGAGGCTGAGGCAGGAGAATTGCCTGAACCCAGGAAGCGGAGGTTGCGGTGAGTCGAGATCGCGCCATTGCACTCCAGCCTGGGTAACAAGAGCGAAACTCCGTCTCAAAAAAAATGACTAAATAAAATTAAAAAATGAATTGCTGAAATTAATTCAATAGCAAGGAACGTTCCTGGATTCAGTTACCGCCCCAGCTTGACTTTTTAGGGACGTCTATTTCTCAGACTGCTGAGCTGCTCCAGCCCCGCCTGGAGGATTTTGCCTCTAAAATCCGGAACGCACAGACCGGGAGAGCGGGATAGAGGGACGCTCAGGCCCCGCCCCCACGGAACCCTCACGCCTCAGGCCCCTTCCGGCCGCATCAGGCCTCTGGCAGTTCCCTCCCTGCGCTTTCCGCACTGAGACCCGCCCGCCCCTCTGCGTCCTTTCCCGCCCTCACTCAGGCCCCGCCCACCTCCTTGGGGGTCCGGTCCAGGCCTGGCCTCCTTCCTGCCGATTGGCACAGGCCCGGAAGCGGCTGGTGTGGACTGCCGGTGGCACCGCGGCGCGTGAGTTTTGCTGTTTGTTTTGTCTCCGCTTCCCAGGCGTGTGGTGCTGCTGTACCGGGGGCGTGGGGTCCCCACAGACTTGGCAATTTTGACCCCTTTTTCTCAACCCAGAGCAAATTGCGACGTCCGTGGGTCGCTTCCTTTTGAGTTTGAATTCACCCCGAGGCTGGTCGTGTCTTTCCTTAACACAGAGCAAGTTGAGACGTCTGGGTGAGGGTCTGTGGGTCGCTTCGTTTGCGTTTAAAGTCGCCCTGAGGCTTGTCCCGTCCCGGTCTTTCTGAGCTAGGGCTGTGCAGGCACCTGGTACCGGCGCTTGTTCCTGCTGAAAACGCTTCCTAACCCGGCGTCCCGCCTCGTGCTGTTTCACATTTTCTCCCCCGCCCTGGGAGCCTCCGAGCCTCGCTGTCGTGGGTCCCTGGAGCGCAGCGCCACAACCCCAGTCCGGGGCCGTGCGTCCTCTGCCTGGTCCTGAAGTCCTGCAGACCCCACCCCTGTCCAGAGGCGCCGTCGCCCCCACCTCCTTCCTCCTGCCGGGCTCCGCTGCTCCCAGTTCCAAGCCCTGGAAAACGTGCTTTTCCCGAGGAAGCCCTCTTATCTCATCCTGTCCCTGTTTTACCGGAAGGCAGTCTTGACTGACGTATCCAAGGCTTCGGCTTTTGGACATAGAATTGTGGGGGGGGGAACCTTCAAAGTAACGACCTAACAGCGGCGACAGCAGGAATTGAGTCAATCAAGAAGGCACTTAACAAGGTGGGAGTGGACCCCAGTGAGCTTCTCCAGGGCCCCGTTTACAAAGTTCTGGGGGTTAAGTCTTTCTTTTGAGGTCCCCATGGGCTACCCCTTTTTCTGGATGAAGGAGTTCGGCCCTTGCTGAGGTGAATTGGCCCGAGCCCACAGCAGGTGGGTGCCCTGTGCGGAAGCGGTGGCCGGTGCCTGGCCGTGGCCACTCCTGGGCACTGTGTTTCCTTGGGAGACGTGGTGGAAGGCGGAGAGCTGTAGAAAGAGTAGCCTTTGATCCTTTGTTAGTCCGCGTGGGGAGTGTAAGGTTGGCCAAGAGGAAGGAGAGTAGACCCAAAGTCAGGCGTGGAAGTTTTACTAACCTGCCGGCTGCCCCGTAACCATCACAGGAGGCAGCCCCGAGCTTACAACACGAGGGGTTTACATGGGGTGAGAGGGGCATAAGGGAGTTTCAGGACTGAGACTCTGTCAGCTTGCAACAGGCGCAGAGATGGTTTGTTAACTTGTGACAGACTTACAGCATATCATCCTGTGACTTCTGTAGGGGCAGTTTTTAAAAAACAGGATCTTTCAGGTGTATGTAAAACAGGAATTTACAAGCCTGGAGATATTTGTTTTCCCTGTCCTCTCCGAGCTGCCCAGATGGCTGGAATCAGGCTTTGCTTAATTGTAGCACCTAGGTGTGTGATAACCTGCTTTTTGCCAGCTAAAACTAAGTCTCTTTCTCACACTAAAAGCTGGTCAGGCATTATGTTAGCTTCTTGAGCTGGACAGACTCAATCTTAGCTTCTTCATTGTAGTGATTTTCCCACCATTATGTATGTAACTGTAGCATGTAGCTGGGGCAGGGTGACCCTGGGCATCTCCAGGAATGCATTTGTTGAGAAGAGGCGGAGTTAAGTGGTACCAGCAGAGCCTGGGAATGGAGGTGCTGTCAAGTGCTCAGAGCCCCCATTATCTACAAGTTGTATGTCTTTCCAGACAGCTTTACCCCTCGCACCTAGCGCTGTTTGATTTCTCATGTACCAGTTTATCTTTTAACTTTTTCGCTTACTCTGCTTTTGTGAAAAATTTGCTTCAGCTAGGTTCCCCCTCCCCTTCAAAACTAGGGTATAAAAGACCACCTAACTTTTTCTTAAGGGTGGAAAGAATTTTGGGCGTTAGCCACCTCTCGGTCACTGGCTTCATAAAGGACTCATAATTCAATCTCAGAGTGTGGTGCATTCCTTGACTTGCTCAGGTACAAAAGAGGGCAGTTCAGGAACGCAGCTGTGGAGCAATCAGGAGGGCTGGTCAGCTTGCATGGAGGGGGTTGTCTGAGGTCGCTTGTCCCTAACAGAAAGATGGAATATTTCCTTTCAGTCTAGTTTTGGAAAGTTCGCGTTACCTGGCCTTAGATTCACTGTCCCCAGACCCAGGAACCAAGTGCTCCTTTTTCTTTATTTTTTTTTTTAAATTAGAGATGGCAAGATCACAGTTCACTGGAGCATCAACCACCTGGGTTCAAGGGATCCTCCCACCTCAGCCTCCAGAATTAGCCGGGACCGAAGCCAGCCTTCATATCGAGCTAATTTTTGTATCCTTTGTAGAGACGAGCTTTCACCATGTTTTCCTGGCTGGTCTCCATCTCCAAAGGTCAGGTGATCCAGCCGCTTTGCCTTCCCAAAGAGTTGAGATTACAGATGTGAGCCACCACACCCCAGCTTGTTTTTTAATTAATAATAATAAAAACAATTAGCTGGGTGCGTATGCTCATGCCTGTTATTTCAGCCCTTTCAGAGGCTGTGTAGGCCAATCACGTGAGGTCAGGAGTTTGAGACCAGCTCGGCCAACATTGTAAAACCTCATCTCGACTAAAATACAAAATTAACTGGGTATGATAGTGGGCACCTGTAATCTGAGCTACCCGGGTGGCTATGGCAGGAGAATCACTGGAATCCAGGACGCAAAGTTTGCAGTGAGCTGAAATCACACCACTTCACTCAAGCCAGGCGACAGAGTGAGACTCTGTCTCAAAAAAATCAAATAAATGTTTCTGAAATAAGCTTTGGTAGGATCCTATGAGCTCACATGATGGGTTTCCAACTATGATATGTGTTCAAAATTTGTTCTTTGACCCCACATTTTATTAGCTATATATTTGTTGTTGTTGTTGTTGTTGTTATTTTGAGATGCAGTTTCGCTCATTACCCAGGCTGGAGTGCAATGGCGAGATCACGGCTCACCACAACCTCCGTCTCCGGGGTTCAAGCAATTATTCTGCCTCAGCCTCCTGCGTAGTTGGGACTACAGGCATGCACCACCATGCCCAGCTAAATTTTGTATTTTTAGTAGAGACAGGGTTTCACCATGTTGACCAGTATGGTCTCGATCTCTTGACCTTGTGATCCACCGGTCCGGCCTCCCAAAGTGCTGGGATTATAGGCGTGAGCCACCGCCCCCGGCAGCTATATTGTTTTTAACCATTTTAAAATTGTTTATCTCCAAAATTTATTATGTCCGGTTTACATTGAGAACTGTATGCTTTCTAGTCTATATCATATGGGGAAACATTTTCTACTACCTGAGAAATGATTTTAGGTTGTTTCAATGTGTACTTACTAAAGATAGTCGAGGACCGTTTTTCTTCTCTGCTAACAGCAAAATGTACTTCAAGTAGCCTGTTACTCCATTTTCTTCTGTCATCTGATGAATCGGTGAGCTGTGAGCTTCTACATAAACATTGCCCTCAAGTTCCTCTGCGCTATACTATTCTCTGCAGATGATCAAGCAGTTGGATTGACTTGGAAGCCTGTTTCAGCAGAACCCATGTGTTCATGAAGGAAACATTAGCTCACATCTCATTTCTACCACTGCCTCTCTTTCAGTGTTTTAAACACCTATAGCTATGTGTTCACAATTGTGTCTATTTTGAAAGTATTCCTGGCCGTGTGCACTGGTTCACGCCTATAATCCCAGCACTTTGGGAGACCGAGGCGGGTGGATCAAGAGGTCAAGATATCGAGACCATCCTGGTCAACATGGTGAAACCCCGTTTCTACTAAAAATACAAAAATGAGCTGGGCATGGTGGTACGTGCCTGTAGTCCCAGCTACTTGGGAGGCTGAGGCAGGAGAATCGCTTGAACCCAGCAGGCGGAGGTTGCGGTGAGCCAAGATCATGCCATTGCACTCCAGTCTGGGTAACAACAGCAAAACTCCGTCTCAAAAAACAAAAAAAAAGAAAAAAAAAAGAAAGAGTCTTTCTGTAATTTTTCTGGAAAAATAATTGCATGTTTAGGATTCATGCATGAGAACCTTAGGCATTCTAAGAGAGCTTTCTTTTGTTCAATTTTATAAAAGATGGTCCTGGGATTAGTTTTGTTCCATTTTTTGAGACAGTGTGACTCTGTCATCCATCCTTGAGTGCAGTGACACAATCTTGGCTCATTGCTGTTGCGGAGACCAGCTCCCAATATATCAGCGTGGATTCAATGTCTCTCAAAGTGATCGAGTGGTCGGTGAAAAGAAAGACAAACAAACTTTTTTCTTTTTTTTTACAGCTGGGCCCTGGGGAGACACCACCATGTAATGCTGTGCCCTGGATGTCTAACGGGCCCCTGAAAACCTCAGTTTTTTATTAGGCTCTTTCAGTAGGGGAGGGTGAGTAAAGTTATACCACATTACAGTGATAATTATACAAAAAGAAACATAAACTATTGACCAAAGATCACAATATGATATTGTAAAAGCGGAACCATGTAAAAATTACTTTTTGTGGGTCAGTATAAAAAACATGTACCTTAGCAAGAGTAGAGGTTAAACATCAACTTATAATTACCAGCCAGAAAGGCACTGGGCCCGCAGCCGCAGGGAGAATAGGATCTGACCCAGGACAAGCAGCCTGACCACAAAACTGCAAGAGGGGGAGCGCCCCCTGCAGGCCTGGAGGAGCAGTGGAAGACAGACTTTGACATCGTGATCTCAGTCCCTGAGGTTTTTCCTCACAACAGAGGCCTTTCCTGCATATGTTCATAGTCTCTCCACAGGGTCGCATTCCGTTTCCAGGGCCATAACCAATATGCCTTTCCTGGGAAAGAGATGTGCTTAATGAGCCTCTCCATTACACAACAGCTCAGCAGAACCAAAGTTACAAGTTATAGCTCAGTTTTTCCCATTATTCTTTATTTTTCTCAAATATAATTGATAGAGTAAGTAACAAGCGTCAGAAAGCAAATAACTCATTTCGGGGGTTAAAAATCAACTATTCCTTCTTGTTATTTTAGATAGATTGGGTTTTGCCAATTCTTCCGTAAGCTTGGGGTTGCTCGGCTACCACCTAGGGGTCCACAGTGTTCCCAGCAATGGCAAGCTCTGCCTCCAAGGCCCAAGCGACCCACCCCAGTCAGCCTCCCAAATAGCTGGGATTGCAGATGCACACCACCATGTCTGGCTAATTTTTTGTCCTTTTCTTTTTATTTTTTGAGAGGGAGTTTCGCTGTTGTTACCCAGACTGGAGTGCAATGGCATGATCTTGGCTCACCGCAACCTCCGCCTGCTGGGTTCAAGCAATTGTCCTGCCTCAGCCTCCTGAGTAGCTGGGACTACAGGCATGCACCACCATGCCCAGCTAATTTTTGTATTTTTTTTTTTAGTGGAGACGGGGTTTCACCTTGTTGACCAGGATGGTCTTGATCTCTTGACCTTGTGATCCACCCGCCTTGGCCTCCCAAAGTGCTGGGATTATAGACATGAGCCACCGCGTCCCGCCTGTACTTTTGATAGAGATGAGATTTCACCGTATTGTGCAGGTTGGTCTCAGACTCCTGGGCTCACGTGATCAACCCACTTCAGCCTTCCAAAGTGCTGGGAATGCAGTGTGAGCTACCATGCCCTGCCCGTTCTGGAATTCTCTAGAGAAGGAAGACCACTGCAACCTGTTGGCCCTCCCAGGCCATCACGTGGGAATCAGCCACACTTTTATTCTGATCAACTCAGAGTTTCTCAGGATAACTCAGTGTAATGTCTTTTGCTCTAAATCTCAGTGAGCCCACCTGTAATACACAGCTGTGGAATAAGACCACAGCAGCTCAAAGTGACACTGACCCCTGAAATGACTGACCAGATAGAGAGTTGCTTTTCCTGTAGGACAGGGTAATGCTCAGGTGTGATTTGAATTTTAAATGGATTCCAGTTCCCCTTAAATATAAAAAACACAAATACCAGAATGGAAAATCAGGAAATTAGACCCAAATCACCTTGAACTTTTTCATGTCTCTGTCCACACCCTCTTTCCCTTCTTATCATTTCATCTCTGGACTTTCACCCAGCTACATGGCTCCGTGTCCCCTGCAGGCCTCTTTCCTGCACTCTGCAATCCTGTGTTCAGTTGGCTCCTCAGCTCTCTGCTAGGACATCACACAGACATCTCCACCCTCATGTTTTCATCAGTGACTTCCTAAACCCTCCTACACATTCCCTGCAGTCCTGCATGTCTCAAATGAGGGTGAAGTGTACTTCTGGGGGTTAGCCAAACTTGACAGCATGTATTTTAAATATGGGAAATAAACTGGACTCTTGAGAGAATAAGTCCCAAGGGGAGAGCAGAGCCAGAAAGTGGGGCTGTGCTGGGCTGGTGCCCTCTGAGTGGAGCCCAGCCCTGACTTCACATTAGGATGCTCAGGCATTTTACAAATACATCTCTCTTTTTTTTTTTTTTTTTTTTTTGAGGCGGAGTTTTGCTCGTTACCCAGGCTGGAGTGCAATGGCGTGATCTCGGCTCACCGCAACCTCTGCCTCCTGGGTTCAAGCAATTCTCCTTCCTCAGCCTCCTGAGTAGCTACAGGCACGTTCCACCATGTCCAGCTAATTTTTTTGTATTTTTAGTAGAGACAGGGTTTCACCGTGTTGACCAGGATGGTCTTGATCTCTCGACCTTGTGATCCACCCGCCTCGGCCTCCCAAAGTGCTGGGATTACAGGCGTGAGCCACCACGCTGGGCCATAAATACATCTTTTATGCTTTTTCATCAGAGATTGCTATTTTCATAGGATGGGACTTACCCTCAGTAATACATTGGTGCTGGTGATTCTCATCTGTGCCCAGCATTGAACATCAAGGCAGTTTCCTCCATGTTGAGAGCTAAGAGCAGCCTGCCATCTACAGGGAGGTGATGGGCTGTGCTCTGCATGGGGCTTGGTGAAGGCCACCTGGGTGCCCTGAAGATCTGTACCCTGATGCAGTGTGTGTGGACTTCCAGAAGAAAACCAAGATCTGAAAACGCGTAAGAATTACCTCATAGGTTCTTCTGTAGGATGCTCTTATCTCTACATAATCTCTGGTGCAGTGGGCAGTGGAGGACTGCCTTTCTACAGGGTGGGGTCTCCCCTGTGTGTGTCTTTTGTCACAGAAAAAAAGTGAGTGCTTTTTTTTGTTTTTTGTGTTCAAGACAGAGTTTCACTCTTGTTGCCCAAGCTGGAATGTAATGGCACCATCTTGACTCACCACAACCTCTGCCTCCCAGGATTAAGCAATTCTCTGGCCTCAGCCTCCCAAGTTGCTGGGATTACATGCATGTGCGACCACATCTGGCTGATTTTTTCTATTTTCAGCAGAGATGGGGTTTGTCCTTGTTGGTCAGGCTGGTCTTGAACTCCCAATCTCAGGTGATCCACCCACCTCAGCCTCCCAAAGTGCTGGGTTTACAGGCATGAGTCACTGCACCCGGCCAACTGTTTGGTTTTTAAACATTAAATAATTATCTGGTGCGGTGCTTCACACCTGTAATCGCAGCTCTTTGGGAGGCTGTGCTGGGCAGAGCACAAGGTCACAAGATCGAGGCCATCCCAGGTAAGATGGTGAAACCTATTCCTACTAAATACACAAACATTAGCTGGGAATGGCAGCCTGTGTTTGTAATCCCAGCTACACAGGATGCTGAGGCAGGAGAATCGCTTTGATCTGGGTGTCAGACATTGCAGTGAGCTGAGATTCTGTTACTGAACCCCAGCCTGGCAATGGAGGTAGACTTCGTCTCAAAAATAAATAAATAAATAAATTTCTTTTTTTCCCACATGCAGGATTGATTTCCAAAGACTCATGTTACGAGGCAGCCACCAGGAAGGCCAAAGAAAAGGAGCCCGGGATGCCTCCTCCTAAGGTAAAGTCATCGTCCTCTGTGGATCATTCTTTTTTTGTTGTTGTTTCTGAAATGCCAGGTTTGTAGTAGCCGGTCTTCTGTGAGTCTGAAGCGTCCTGCCTGGCACGTGTGCTCACACTCACTCATGCCTTTTCTCAGTCCCTCCCATCTCCACTTAGATTCCATCTCCTATAACCCAGTGACGTGAGCTTGGGAAGAGGCTGCACTGGGCATGGTCCTGGGAAGGGCTCTCCCCAGACATGGATGGAGACGGCATATGGGCCTTGTGCTGTCTGTGGTGCTGGGCAGCAGGGAATGTTCAGGGGCCACATCTGGATACATGTTTAACTGTTTGTGGACCAGATCAGAGAAAATATATGTGCTCTGGTATCTGGAGGGGAAAGGGAGATATGTTAGGGAAGCTTTTTTTTTTTTTTTGAGACAGAGACTCATTGTCACCAGGCTGGAGTGCAGTGGCACCATCTTGGATCACTGCAACTTCCACCACCTGGAATCAAGCAATTCTTGTGCCTCAGCCTCCCGAGTAGCTGGGATTACAGAAATGCACCAGCATACCCAGGTGATTTTTGTAATTTTAGTATAGACAGGGTTTCACCATGTTGACCAGAATGGTCTCAATCTCCTGACCTTGTGCTCCACCTGTGTCGGCCTCCCAAAGTGCTGGGATTACAGGCATAAGCCACTGCGCCTGGCCTAGGGCAGCTATTTTGTGTCTGATTTTGTAATGCATTTTGAAGTTACATTAGTGAATCAATATGTCTCTGACTCCAAACTTTTTATCTTAAAACACAGGGTGTCACTCTGGGGTTCAGTCTGAAGTGCAGTGGCACAATGCTAGTTTAAAGCAGCCTCGAACTCCTGGGCTCAGGTCATCCCTACATTAGCCTCCCAAGTGCTACGGCATGAGGCATGTGCCATCATGGCTGCTAATTTATTTTTTACTCTGTGGAGTTCGGGACTTGCTATGTTGTCTAGGCAGGGGTGACATGGCAAAATCATAGCTCACTATAACCTTGAACTCCTGGCCTCAAGTGATTCTCCCACCTCAGCCTCCCAATCTGCTGGGTTACAGGTGTGAGACAGCCAGCCCAGTGGGACTCCGCACGTTTACTGGCTTGGAATAGGATGGAAAACAGAGAGAGACATCAGTGGTAGAGGTGGCTTTATTTCATCATTGACTTTGAGTCATGTAATCAATATGAATATCTAACTACTGAGGATTCTTTAAATCATTCTCAGCACTTTGACCCCACAGAGATTTTTTTTTTCAGGGCCCTGATTAATAAGGCATTTTGGACAAAACTGGTAGCAGTTATTTTGTTAGAGAGAATGAAGGCACTTTTTTCTACCCATTATTATAAAACGTTTATTTATTTATTTATTATTATTATTATTTCTTTTTGAGATGGAGTTTCGCTCTTGTCACCCTGGCTGGAGTGCAATGGCGCGATCTGGGCTCACCGCAACCTCCACCTCCTGGGTTCAGGCAATTCTCCTGCCTCAGCCTCCCAAGTAGCTGGGATTACAGGCACGCGCCACCATGCCCAGCTAATTTTTTGTATTTTTAGTAGAGACGGGGTTTCACCATGTTGACCAGGATGGTCTCGATCTCTTGACCTCGAGATCCACCCGCCTCGGCCTCCCAAAGTGCTGGGATTACAGGAGTGAGCCACTGCACCCGGCCCCACTTTCATTCTTAATCTGTCTTTTTTTTCATTTATTTGTCACACTGAATTCTGGGTACCCGTGGATGGGGTGTGGGGGCTGGCTCCCTACAAATTCTTTATTTTTGCCTTTAAGTTTTGTTCATATTATGAATTTTTTTCTTTTTTTTTTTTTTTTTTGGGGGGGGGGAGGAAGGCAGGAAGGAAGGGAAGAAGGACGGTAGGGAGGAAGGAAGGGATGAAGGAAGGAAGGAAGGGAGGAAGCGGGGAGGGAGGGAGGGAGGGAGGGAAGGGAAGAAAGGAAATCAAGCAATGAAAGAGACATTGCCGACCTGGATCTAGAGGTTTACAAGTTGATTTCTTTTTTTTTGAGAGAAGGAAAGAAAAAAAAAAAAAAAATAAGTAAAGGAGAGGAAGAAAGAGGAAGAGAAAGAGGGAGAGTAAATGGAAATATTGCTTTATTTTGAAAAAAAATTGGGTATTAATAATGGCCAATCAATGTTTCATTTAAACTAATGGGTAGGTGTGATGTGGTATTGACAAGAATGTATATTTTGTGTATTTGAAGTGGAGAGCTCTATAAATATTTATTAAGTTTACTTGTTCTGGATCTGAGTTCGAGTCCTTGATATCCTTATTAATTTTCTGTCTCATTGAATCTAAGTCTCCTATCTGGGTGTTAGGATCGTTAGCTCTTGTTGTTGCATTGATCCTTTTACCACTATATCTTTGTTGCTTTAAAATCTATTTTATCCGATACAAGAATTGCAACTCCTGCTTTTTATTTATTTATTATTTATTTTTGCTCTCCATTTGGTTGGTAAATCTTTCTCCATCCCTTTGTTTTGAGTCTTTGTGCATCCTTGCATGTGAAACAGGTCTGGATGTAACATGCCGTTGGGTTTTGGCTGTGTCTTTTGATTGGGAATTTAGTCAATTTAAATTTAGGGTTACTGCCATTTGATGCTGACTGGCTGTTTTATCCATGTGTTGGTGTAAATTCTTCTTTATGTTGGTGCTCTTCACTTTTTGGTGTATTTTTAGAAAGGCTAATACTGGTTGTTTCTTTCTGTGTGTAATGCTTCTTTCAGAAGCTCTTGTAAAGCAGGCCTGGTGGTAATAAAATCTCTGAGTTCTTGCTTGTTCATAAAAGATTTTATTTTTCCTTCAGTTGTGAAGCTTAGTTTGGCTGGATATGAAATTCTGGGCTGAAGGTTCTGTTCTTTGAGGATGTTGAATATTGGCCCCCACTCTCTTCTGGCCTGTAGAGTTTCTGCCGAGAGATCTGCTGTAAGTCTGATAGGCTTGCCTTTGTGGGTTATCCGACCTTTCTCTCTGGCTGCCCTTAGTATCCTCTCCTTCGTTTCAACCCTGGTGAATCTAACGATTATGTGCCTTGGGGTTGGTCTTCTTGAGGAATATCTTTGTGGTGTTCTCTGTATTACCTGGGGTTGAATGTTGACCTGCTTTGCTAGTTTAGGAAAATTTTCCTGAATAATATCCTGAAGGGTATTTTCCAGCTTGGATTCATTCTCTCCGTTGCATTCAGGTACACCTATCAAACGTAAATTTGGTCTTTTCACATAGTCCCACATTTCTTGGAGACTTTGCTCATTCCTTTTTATCCTTTTTTCTCTAATCTTTTCTTCACGTTTTATTTCATTAAGTTGGACTTTGACCTCTGATATCCCTTCTTCTGCTTGAACAATTCGAGTATTTAAACCTGTGCATACTTCTCGGAGTTCCTGTATTGTATTCGTCAGTTCCATTAATTCACTCATACTCCTCTCTAAGTTGTCTATTCTCAATAGGATTTCATCAAGCCTTTTGTCAAAGTTCCTAGTTTCTTTACGTTGGGCTACAACATGTTCTTTTAACTCACCGAAGTTTGTTATTATCCATTCCTTGAAGAGTGATTCTGTCATCAGGAGGCGCTCGTTCTCCATCAAGCCTTGTTCCATTGTTGATGTGGAACTGTGATCATCTTTAGAGGGAGAGGCGTTCTGACTTTGAGTATTCTCAGCTTTTTTACGCTGGTTTCTTCCCGTCATTGTAAATTTATCCTCCTGTCGTCTTTGAAATTACCAACTTTCAGATTAGGTCTCTTGAGTGGACGTCCAGGTTGTTAGTTCCCAGGGCCAGAGCAGCGGCGTTAAAACTGATGGTGCTTTTCTGCCCAGGATTCTCCTGTCGGGCTTCCTTCTTGTTTCCGTAGTAGGCGACTCTGCCTTCCCGGGGCTCCAAACCTCGGTCAGAAGGGGAACCGGTCCCGTTTACTCTGCTCCGAGAGCTGCCGCGCCGAGGTGCCGGCGGAACCGCTGCGCCGACCACGAGAGTCGCGCTGGCGACCCGTGTGTTTCCACCACTGGGGGATCTTCTGCTCCGTGAGCGACCAGACTTTGTCTGAAAGTGTGGCGTCCTCTAGGTCTCCGCGCCTTCCCTGAGAGCTGCAATCCCGGGATGTTAGCGATCGGCCATCTTGGATCGTTCTCCGAATTTTTTTCTTAAGGGTAAAACAAATGTTCCTTCACATGACCTTTTTATTATTATTATTATTTTTATTTTTTTTTTTTTGAGACAAAGTTTCACTCTTGTTGCCCAGGCTGGAGTGGAAAGGCACCATCTTAACTCTTTGCAACCTCCACCTCCCGGGTTCAAGCACTTCTCCTGCCTCAGCCTCCCAAGTAGCTGGGATTACCGGGACATGCCACCATGCCCAGCAAAGTTTTGTATTTTTAGTAAAGATGGGGTTTCATCATCTTGGCCAGGCTGTTGATGAACTCCTAACCTCACGTATCTACCCGCCTCGGCCTCCCAAAGTGCTGAGATTATACAAGTGAGCCATCTTGCCTAGGCCCGTGCTCTCTATTTGCATTTTCTTGTTTTATTTTGCTTTGTAAGCTTTGCCTCATCGGTGATTATGACGTCCTCTTGTATTTAAATCTAATTTTATTGTTAAAAATTTGATGGCAGCCGGGCTCAGTGGCTAAAGCTTGTAATCTTGACACTTTGACAGGCCAAAGCAGGGTGATTACCTTATGTGAGGTGTTCAAGGCCTGCCTGGTCAACATGGTGGAACCCCGTTTTTACTAAAAGTGCAAAAAATTAGGTGGTATGGGTGGCAAGCAGTTGTAATCCCACTTACTCAAGAAACTGAAGCAAAAGAATTGCTCAAAGCTGAAAGGCAGAGGTTGTAGTGAGCCAAGGTCATGTCATTGCACTCCGGCCTGGGTGACGAGAGTGAAACTTCATCTCAAAAATATAAATAAAAATAGATTTGGTTTATATTTAATTTTAATTTTTGTGTATTTCTCATAGGTATTTCAGGTAATTAATTTTAAAGATTCAGGTAATGTATGTCAGCAAATTCATATGAAGTCAGCAAACACCTCCCTATTTTTCTTTTCTTTTCTTTTCTTTTTTTTTGAGACGGAGTTTCGCTGTTGTTACCCAGGCTGGAGTGCAATGGCACGATGTCGGGTCACTGCAACCTCCGCCTCCTGGGTTCAAGCAATTCTCCTGCCTCAGCCTCCCCAGTAGCTGGGACTACAGGCGCGTACCACCATGCCCAGCTAATTTTTGTATTTTTAGTAGAGTTGGGGTTTCACCTTGTTTACCAGGATAGTCTCGGTCTTTTGACCTCCTGATCCACGCACCTCGGCCTCCCAAAGTGCTGGGATTATAGGCGTGAGCCATCGCGTCCAGCCTCCTATTTTGCTTTTGAAAATACTTTTGATTTCCCTTAGACAGAACACACTTTATTGAAATTTCACTCTTTTCCCTTTAATGTCTCTTAATGTTTACAACTGTAAAAGTCTGTTTCTTTGTTTTTCATTGCCCCATTTTATCTGAGACAGGTATAGCAATCTTGCTATCAACACTTAATTCAGTATGAATTGGACATGTCAATCTTTGATGATGTGTTTGAGTTGTTTCTTTGTTTTTTCTGTAAAGTAGTGTCAGGTATATTCATATTAGTATGCAGTAGTTACAGGACTTTGTCCTGCAAAACTGAAACTCTTATACCCACTAGGAGCTAATTTTTCCATTCAGCACATTCAATCCTTCGGAGCGTAGCTGCAGATGTAGTGGTGACCAACTCCCTCAACTTCTGTTGAACTGAGAAAGACCTAATTTTAAAATATTTTTTAAAGGATCATTTTCTCAGGTATAGCGGTTTTATTGGCGGGTGCGTTTCTTTGAAGCTTTGACTGTTCCATCGTACTCACTCGCAGACTCTGATGTTTCTACTGAGAAATTTCTTAAGAATATGACAGCAACACCATCTTGGGTGACAGCTCTTCTTTTGGCTATTGTTAGAATTTTCTTTATCTCTGAATTTTGATAATTTTATTATGATGTTGTTTGTTGTAGGTCTCTTAGATTATCCTAGTTGGATACTTTTAAGATGTTGAATTTGTTTCTTTTGCCTTCTGAAATTAGAAAATTTTGAGCATTATGTCTTCCAGTGGGCTTTTCTGTTCCTTTCTGACTCTCACTCTCTTCTGGATTTCTGGAATTTTTTTTTTTCTTTAGAGGGAATTTTGCTCTGTCGCCCAAGGTAGAGTGCAGTGGTGCAGTGTGGGCTGACTTCAACCTCTGCCTCCTGGGTTGGAGTGATTCTCTCACCTCAGCCTCCCAAGTAGCTGAAATTACAGGTGCGCACCACCACACCTGGCTAATTGTTGTCTGTTTAATCCAGAAGGAATCTTACCATGTTGGCCAGGTCAGTCTTGAACTCCTGACATCAGGTGATTTCCCTCACCCAGTCCTTTCAAAGTGCTGGAATTACACGCTGAGCCACTCCTCCCGGCCTGGGGCTTTCATAAGGTGTAGGATGTTGTCCTTGATGGCGTCCCGTTGGTCTGTTTAGACTCCCTTTATTTCCATTTATTCTTTGTTGTTGTTGTTGTTGTTTTCCTCTTCACTAACTTTTGGTTTTTGTTGTTGAGATGGAGCTTTGCTCTTGATACCCAGGCTGCACTGCGGTGGCACGATCTCGGCTCACTGCAACCTCCGCCTTTCCAGTTCAACTGATTCTCCTGCCTCAGCCTCCCGAGTAGCTGGGACTACAGCTGTGTGCCACCACGCCCAACTAATTTTTGTATTTTTAGTAGAGTTGAGGTTTCACCGTGTTGGCCAAGATGGTGTCTTGATATTTTGATCTTGTGATCTGCTCACATCATAAGTGCTAGTATTATAGGCATGAGCCACCATGCCTGGCCAAGCCCATGCTTTGTGTATAAACACATCATTGGCGTGTGCTCTTCTCTCTCTCTCCCTCTCTCTCTGTCTTTCTCCCTCTCACTCTGTCTCTCTCTCTCTCTCTCTCTCTGTCAGTTGTATTTGTCTGTATGTTTCTGTGTATATATATGTTATTTTTATTTATTTATTTTCTGAGAAAGAGTGTCATTCTGTTAGCCCAGAGTGCAGTGGCGTGAAACCTCTGCCTTCAGAGTTCAAGCATTCTCCTGCTTCAGCTTCCCAAACAGCTGGGATTACAAGGGCTTTCCCCAACCACACCCAGATAATTTTTTTATTTTTAGTAAATACTAGGTTACCCCAGATTGGCTAGGTTTGTCTCAAACTCCTGACTTCATGTAATCCACTCCCCTCAGTCTCCCAATGTGATGGAATCAGAGGTGTGAGCCACTACACCTGGCCTTATTTATATACATATATATATATAGAGAGAGAGAGAGAGAGCGTCTAAGTCTAGAGCCCAAGCTGGAGTGCAGTGGTATAATCTTGGCTCATGGTGAAATTCACCTCTGGGAGTCAAGCAAATCTCTTCCCTCACCCTCCCAAGTAGCTGGGAGAAGAGGTGTGTGCCACCACACCCAGTTAATTTTTCTGTATCTTTGGTAGAGACCGGGTTCTACTGTGTTGCCCTGGGTGGTCTTGAACTCCTGAGCTCGGGTGATCCACCCGCCTCAGCCTCCCAAAGTGCTGGGATTCCAGGGGTGAGACTCTCACTCAGCAATATATTTTTTATATTATCCATGAAATTGGGACTTCCACAGTGGCTTACAAGACTTTTAAATCTATCATGGAAAAGTATACTAAAAAGCAGCTATATGACAAAAATGTCCAAAGATACCTTAACGCGGATTTGTCAGCGCACAGTCTGGTATCATAACAATACTTATTTTCTTTTTTTCTCATTTCATGTGAAGGTGATAACTCAGTTCCGTATAACATTTTGTTGAAATGTATTTTTCATTTTAGGGACGCTTGACTTTCAGGGATGTGGCTATAGAATTCTCTTTGGCGGAGTGGAAATGCCTGACCCCTGCTCAGAGGGCTTTATACAGGGACGTGATGTTGGAGAACTACAGGAACCTGGAGTCTGTGGGTGAGGAAAACATCCCTCCAGACACGAGGAATCTGCCCTTGTCCATCTTGGCTCTTCCTGGTATGTATTCTCTGTTGCAATTTTGCCCCATGTATGCTTTTGATGTACATGTCATTGATTTCTGCAGACCCTCCTAGGAAGCACGGATAGCTTCTTAGGGACTCTCCTATGCAGTGGCTTTACGTAAAAACAGAAAATTCATGAACACTTTGACTAATACAGTAGAACATCATCCTGCTCTAGGCAGAGATGCCCCTGGAAGCTCTGAGCAGAATTGTCTGCATGGTCCAGGATAAGAGATGGAAAGCATGGCACTGACTGGATCCTCCACCTCCTGGGTTCAAGCAATTCCATACCTCAGCCTTTCAACGTATCTGGAATTACAGGCACATGCCACCAGACCTGGCTAATGTTCTTTTTCTTTTTTTTTTTTTTTTTTTTTTTTGAGACGGAGTTTCGTTCTTGTTACCCAGGCTGGAGTGCAACGATGCAATCTCGGCTCACCGCAACCTCCACCTCCTGGGTTCAGGCAATTCTCCTGCCTCAGCCTCTTGAGTAGCTGGGACTACAGGCACGCGCCACCGTGCCCAGCTAATTTTTTGTATTTTTAGTAGAGACAGGGTTTCACGTTGTTGACCATGTTGGTCTCGATCTCTCGACCTCGTGATCGACCCGTCTCGGCCTCCCAAAGTGCTGGGATTACAGGCTTGAGCCATGGCACCCGGCCTCTTCTTATTTTTATTAGAGATACGGTATCACCATGATGGCCAGGCTTGTCTCAAACTTCTGGTCTCAAGTACTCTGCCAGCTTTAGCCTCTGGCCAAGTGTTGGAATTACACATGTGAGCCGTCATGCCCGGCCTTTCTTTCTGGGTTTTGAGGAGAATCACAGAAGTGTCTCACTGGCACTGTGACTGTGTTCTTCACATAAGCTAAAGATTATCTTCTCTAAGCAGCAGTCACTGCTGTAGAAATTCCTCCTGGGTACGACATCGTTCAGGTTCACTGCGTCATATATATAAGGCTCTTGGCATAACTCTTTTTTATGCTCACATGGAATTTTGCTCTTGTTGCCCAGGCTGGAGTGCAATGGTGAAATCTCTACTCACTGCAACCTCTGCCTTTTGGGTTCAAGCAATTCTGCCTCAACCTCCCCAGTAGGTGGAATTTACAGGCACCTACCACCACACCTGGCTAATGTTTGTATTTTTAGTAGAGATGAGTAATCTTAACCTTTCAAGATTACATTAGGGAAGTTTAAAATAACTACTGTTCTGGGCCGGGCGCGGTGGCTCAAGCCTATAATCTCAGCACTTTGGGAGGCCGAGGCGGGTGGATCATGAGGTCAAGAGATCGAGACCATCCTGGTCAACATGGTGAAACCTTGTCTCTACTAAAATACAAAAAATTAGCTGGGCATGGTGGCGCGTGCCTGTAGTCCCAGCTACTCGGGAGGCTGAGGCAGGAGAATTGCCTGAACCCAGGAGGCGGAGGTTGCAGTGAGCCAAGATCGCGCCATTGCACTCCAGCCTGGGTAACAAGAGAGAAACTCCGTCTCAAAAAGATAAAATAACTACTGTTCTTTGTGTAATATTTGCACATTTCAGTCTTAACTGTTATTTACCATCTGTACTTAATTGGAAACCTACTGGTCTTTATATTTTTCAGATAGCTTTTTAAAGTCTATGATGAAGTTCTCATCAACAGGGCAAGGTAGTACAGGAGAAGGGATCCACACAGCGACATTGGGAAAATGTACAAGTCATCACATTGGAGATTCTTGCTTCCCAGAAGCTGAGAAAGATATTCATGAGTTTGAGTTTCAGAGGCAAGAAGTCAAAGGAAATGGCCATGAAGCACTCATGACAGAACCCAAGGAGTTGACTGGAAGTACAGAGCCATATGATGACGGGTGTGCTGGCAGGAAGCCTATTGGAGATCAGCTTGGGTTAAGCTTCCATTCGCATCTGCCGGAACTGCACATATTTCAGACCGAAGGGAACATTGATAATCAGCTAGAGACGTCTGCCAATGATGATTCCTCAGTTTCAACAGCCCAAAACATTTCTTGTAGGCTCAAAACCCATGTCTCTAACAAGCATGAGAATAATGTCCTCCATTCTTCATTATTCACACAAAAACAGGAAGTACACATGAGAGAAAAACCTTTCCATTGTAATGAGTGTGGCAAAGACTTTCATAATAGTTCAGTCTTAAGGCGACATCAGCTAACCCATTCAGGAGAGAAACAAAACAAATGTGATGTGTGTGGCAAAGTCTTTCCTAAGAAGCACAACCTTGTAAGTCACCATAGAGTTCATACTGGAGAGAAACCTCACAAGTGTAATGAGTGCGGCAAGACCTTTACTCAGAAGTCATCCCTGCAGTGCCATCATAGAATTCACACTGGAGAGAAACCTCACAAGTGTAACGAGTGTGGCAAGACCTTTACTCAGAAGTCATCCCTGCAGTGCCATCATAGAATTCACACTGGAGAGAAACCTTACACATGTAATGAATGTGGTGAGAGTTTTAATAGAAAATCACACCTTGCACGTCATCAGATCCTTCATACTGGAGAGAAACCTTACACATGTAATGAGTGTGGGAAGGGTTTTAGTGCAAAAGCACACCTTGCACGTCATCACACACTTCATACTGGAGAGAAACCTTACAAATGCAAGATTTGTGACAAGGTTTTCCGGAGTCGTTCATACCTTCCAGAGCATCAGAGAATTCACACTGGAGAGAAACCTTACAGGTGTAACGAGTGTGGCAAGACCTTCAGCCGGAAGTCATACCTGCAGTCCCATCATAGAATTCACACTGGAAAGAAACCTTACACATGTAATGAATGTGGGAAGGGTTTTAGTACAAAAGCACACCTTGCACGTCATCACATACTTCATACTGGAGAGAAACCTTACACATGTAATGAATGTGGGAAGGGTTTTAGTAGAAGAGCACACCTTGCACGTCATCACATACTTCATACTGGAGAGAAACCTTACAAATGCAAGATTTGTGACAAGGTTTTCCGGATTCGTTCATACCTTCTAGAGCATCAGAGAATTCACACTGGAGAGAAACCTTACAGGTGTAACGAGTGTGGCAAGACCTTCAGCCGGAAGTCATCCCTGCAGTGCCATCATAGAATTCACACTGGAAAGAAACCTTACTCATGTAATGAATGTGGGAAGGGTTTTAGTACAAAAGTGCACCTTGCATATCATCACATACTTCATACTGGAGAGAAACCTTACAAATGCAAGATTTGTGACAAGGTTTTCCGGAGTCGTTCATACCTTCCAGAGCATCAGAGAATTCACACTGGAGAGAAACCTTACAGGTGTAACGAGTGTGGCAAGACCTTCAGCCGGAAGTCATACCTGCAGTGCCATCATAGAATTCACACTGGAAAGAAACCTTACACATGTTATGAATGTGGTGAGAGTTTTAATAGAAAATCACACCTTGCATGTCATCAGACCCTTCATACTGGAGAGAAACCTTACAGGTGTAACGAGTGTGGCAAGACCTTCAGCCGGAAGTCATACCTGCAGTCCCATCATAGAATTCACACTGGAAAGAAACCTTACACATGTAATGAATGTGGGAAGGGTTTTAGTACAAAAGCACACCTTGCACGTCATCACATACTTCATACTGGAGAGAAACCTTACAAATGCAAGATTTGTGACAAGGTTTTCCAGATTCGTTCATACCTTCTAGAGCATCATAGAATTCACACTGGAGAGAAACCTTACAAGTGTAATGAGTGTGGCAAGGTTTTTAATCAGCCAGCACTCCTTTCACGTCACCGTAGACGTCATACTGGAGAGAAGCGTTACAATTGTGAAGAATGTGACAAAGATTTTAGTTGCAAATCACACCTTGAAAGACATAAAAGAATTCATACTGGAGAGAAACCATACAAATGTAAGGTTTGTAACAAGGCTTTTGGGCGTGATTCATACCTGGCACAACATCAGAGAGTTCATACTGGAGAGAAACCTTACAAGTGTAGTGAGTGTGGCAAGACCTTCAGTCAGATGTCATCCCTTGTATATCATCGTAGACTTCATACAGGAGAGAAACCGTATCAGTGTAGTGAGTGTGGCAAGACCTTCATTCAGATGTCATGCCTTGTATACCATCGTAGACTTCATACAGGAGAGAAACCTTAGTGTAATGACTGTGGGAAAACCTTCAGTCAGACGTTATCCCTTGCATAGCATCATAGACTTCATACAGGAGAGAAACCTTATCAGTCTAGTGAGTGTGGCAAGACCTTCATTCAGATGTCATCTCTTACATACCATCGTAGACTTCATACTGGAGAGTAACCTTATAAGTGTCATCTACAGGGTCCAGCCTTGCCGGGTCTCTTGGGTGTTCTTTTGTGTTCGGAGAAGATAGATCAAAGGAAAGAAAGACACAAGACAGAGAGATCAGAAAAGAGTTGAGCTGGACCCAGGGGACTACTACTAGTAAGGTGCAGAATCCAGTTGTGGCCCCGAATGCCTGGACATGCTGATACTTACTGTATACAAGGCAGGGGGGCAGGGTAAAGAGTGACTCATCTGACATGATTGATAGGGTCAGGCAAATCACATGCTTACAGCTCGGGGCCTCCCTTTCAGGTCGCCGCTGCAAAAAGGGAGGCACATACGTCAGCATCTTTCTGTGCACTTGTCAGAAAGATCAAAGGCTTCCTGTAGGATTCCTCTATTCTCATGCCTTGTAAGAACATAAAAAGAGCACCAGGTTGGAAAGCGAAACCTGAAAGTGGACAAGGATGGTGACCATCGGAGCACAGCACCGCAGAGAGACATTTAAGCCCCTGGAGGCTGGGCGTGGTGGCTCACGCCTATAATCCCAGCACTTGGGGAGACCAAGGTGGGTGGATCATGAGGTCAAGAGATCAAGACCATCCCGGTCAACATGGTGAAAACCTGTCCCTACTAAAAATACAAAAAACTTAGCTGGGCATGCTGGCTCGCACTTGTAGTCCCAGCTACTTGGGAGGCTGAGGCAGGAGAATTGCTTGAACACAGGAGGCGGCAGTTGCGGTGAGCTGAGATCACGTCATTGCACTCCAGCCTGGGTAACAATAGTGAAACTCTGTCTCAGAAAAAAATAAAATAGCCCCTGGTCGTCTGCAGGTTGGCTTGGCTAATATCAGGCCTTCCTCAAGACTCAAGGTTTTCTGAAATCCTCCAATGAAAAAGAAACTCCCTTTTACAGCCTGCTAAGTAGAGGTCACTTTCCCAGCAGCTGACACTACAGCAAGACACTCCCCTCCTGATCACTTCTCACAATGTCCCTTCCATTTCTAATTATATTTCACCTGATTATGTCTATATTATGTGACGGAAGTGATTCTGTGCTATACTACTAAACCAAAGGTTAATAATAGTGATTAAATAGGAGTTTTATATAATTGATTATGTGATTCTTTCTAATATATTTGGCATCATAGGTAAAGCTAAGTAATCATTTCTTATACTGGGGCAGATCGTGCCTGCAGTCTCGCTTTGGCACTGGGGCAACTTTCTTCCCAGGTAATGTGTGGCAGGACCTTCAGGCAGACGTCATCTCTTGTAGTCCATTGTCAACAATACTGGACAGAAACCTTAGAAGTGTAATGAGTGTGGCAAGCGCTTCACTTGAAATTCAGCCCTTGTAATTCCTAAGGCACTTCATTCTGGAGAGAACCTGACAAGTGTAATGAGTGTGGCAACATCAGAGAGCTAATACTGGAGAGAAATCACACACACACATGTAATGAGTATAGCAAAGCCTTCAATGTGCAGTCAGCACTTACCACGATCAGGTGGTCCATGGTATAGGGAAACTATTAATGTGATGACTCTCACATAGTCTTCTGTCAAGGGAGACTAGGCTTCTGTGAAGGGAGATCTTACAAGTGTAATGAATGCGGCAAATTGTTCGGACCTTGTTCATAGCTTGCAGTTGATCAGCATACTCATACTGGAGAGGAACCTTACAAATGGCAGGATTGTAGCAAGCTTCAGTCAAGCTTCATCTTATGCAAAACATAAAATTCACACAGGAGAGAAACTCCACAAGTGTCATGATTGTGGCAAAGCCTTTAATTCACGTTCCTACCTCCTTAGACATTAGACGAGGGAGAGAAGGGGAAATTGAGAGAGATGTACAGAATGAAGGAGGGAAACAGTAATGAAGAAAGGGTCTGGGCGCAGTGGCTCACACCTGTAATCCCAACAATTTAATAGACTGAGGCAAGGGGATTGGTTGTGTTCAGTAGTTCGAGGCTATCCTGGGCAGCATAGTGAGACCTTCTTCTCTGCCAAAAAAAAAAAACTCAACAGGGCGTGACAGTACACCGCTCTAATCCCAGCTACTCTGAAGCCTGAGGCAGGAGAGTCTCGAGCTCAGGAAGTCCAGACTGCAGTTAGCCAAGATCATGTCATTGCACTCCAGCCTGGTCGACAGAGCAAGATCCTGTGTTAGAAAAAAAAGTGAGGGGGGCGAGGGGCTGGGCAGAGTAGCTTATGCCTGCAAAACCAGCATTTTGGGAGGCCGAGGTGGGTGGATGATCTGAGATCATGAGTTCGAGACCTGCCTGACCAGCACGATGAAACCCCGTCTTTACTAAAAATAAATTAGCTGGGTGTGGTGGTGGCTTCTGTAATGCCAACTACTGGGGATGCTGAGACAGGAGAAACGACCCAGGAGGCGGAGGTCATAGTGAGCTGAGATAACGCCATTACACTCCAGCCTGTACAACAAGAGTGAAACTCCATTTTAAAAAAAAAGAAAAGGGCAAATGCCTTTGGGTTCAGATGAGTGGGTGAGTTTATTGGATATGATTAGTTGTGACATACTGAGTTCTGTGTATATTATCTTAATCTTGGCTTGGCGCGGTGGCTCACACCTGTCATCCTAACACTTTGGAAGGCCGAGGCAGGTGGATCACGAGGTCAAGAGATCGAGACTATCCTGGTAAACAAGGTGAAACCCCATCCCTACTAAAAATACAAAAAATTAGCTGGGTGTGGTGGCACGTGCCTGTAATCCCAGCAACTCAGGAGGCTGAGGCAGGAGAATTGCTTGAACCCAGGAGGCGGAGGTTGCAGTGAGCCGAGATCGCGCCATTGCACTCCAGCCTGGGTAACAAGAGTGAAACTCCATCTCAAGAATAAAAAATTCCTATCTCTTAGACATATATATTCTATAAATCGTGGCATATCAGAGGTTAGATTCCACATAGTATTTTTATTTAGCCAGAGGGCAGTGAGTTATTTAGTTGTGAGTCACTCTCATCTTTTCCCAGCGTGGTGTAGGAAGTGGCAAAGTGAAGTGAAAAAATACCACTTTCTGTTATTACATAATACTTTTAATTAATTAGTATTCTGAGACAGGATCTGGCTCTGTCGCCCAGGCTGGGGTGCAGTTCGTGATCTCCTGTAACTGCAGCCTCGGCCTCCTGGGCTCAAGCAGTCCTCATACCTCAGCATCCTGAGTACCCGAAACCACAGGCATGAGGCATCATGCCAGGTTCTTTTTGGGTTTCTTGTGCATGTAGAAACGGGGTTTCCAGGCTGGTCTTAAAGGAATCTCCTGCCTGGCCTTTAAAAGTACTGGGATTAGGCCGGGCGTAGTGGCTCGCGCCTGTAATCCAAGCACTCTGGAGGCCAAGACAGGCGAATTACCTGTGGTCAGGAGTTCTAGACCAGCCTGACCAACATGGTGAAACCCTGTCTTAAAAAAAAAAAAAGAAAAAAAAAAGTACTGGGATGACGGGTTAGCCCGTGTGCCTGACCTACATAGTCGTTTTTTTGTTTTGTTTTGTTTGTATTTAGATGGGGTATTGTTCTTGTTGCTCAGGCTGGAGTGTAGTAGTCCAATCTCAGCTCACTGTAATCTCTGCATTCCAGATTCAAGCGATTCTCCTCCTCAGCCTCTGGAGTAGCTGGGATTACAGGCATGTGTCACCACACGCAGCTCCTTTGTATTCTTAGTAGAGATGGGGTCTCTCCATGTTTCTCAGGCATGTCTGAAACTTCTGACCTCGGGGGATTCACCTGCCTGGACCTCCCCAAGTGCTGGGATTACAGGTGTGAGCCACCATGCCTGGCTTATAGTAGTTTTTTTTCTTTACCCCAAAACCCCATTTTTAATTTTTTTTATTTTATCTATCTATTTATTTTTGCTCATAGTACTTTTTAAAAGGGACATCAAAGCCTGACGTGGTGACTCTCACCTGTTATCCCAGCACTTTGGGAGACTGAGGTGAGCCGGATCACCTAAGGTTAGAGTTCAAGACCAGCCTGGTCAGCATGGTGAAACTTGACCTATGTGGGGGGCTGGAGACAGAATGGACCAGGTCAGCTGTGAAACTTCATGGGATTAGTGGTGGCGGGGCCACCTGGCCCAGCTGCCATGGAGCAACTGAGGGGCCACTACACACAGGTTTCAAGTAATTGATGGGCCAACAGCCTGGGTGCTTCTCTGGGCCCTCATGTCCGGGCCCAAGCGTGGGTAATTTCAGGATTTGATGGCTCAGGGCTTGTGTTGAAGGTCAGCAAAAAGAGGAACTGGTTTCTAAGCTGCCACACATCAGAGCCATAGGCCAACCTCAAACGACACAAGTGATCTTTAGAGAGGCTTCAGGCCTGAGAGTTTGTATTTGGGGCCTTTTTTTTTTTTTTTTTTTTTTTTTTGAGACAGAGTTTCATTCTTGTTCTCCAGGCTGGAGTGCAATGGTACATCTCAACTCGACTCATCTCAACATTTTTCTTCTGGGTTCAAGTGAATCTCCCCCCTTCACCCTTCCTAGTAGCTGGGATTACAGGCATTTGCCACCACACCTGGCTACTTTTTCATTTTTAGTGGAGATGGGGTTTATCCATGTTGGTCAGGCTGGTCTCAAACTCCGGACTCACGTAATCCTCCCGCCTGGGCCTCCCAAAGTGCTGGGATTTAAGACGTGGACAACCGCGCCTGTCCTTTAGGACTTTTTAACCTGTGGATTTTGTGTGGAGCCATATCAGAGGGTCATGTCTTTGTGAGAGTGCAAGCAAGCGTGTGGTGCTTTCCAACTTCAGTTGACATTAGTCACTTTTTCTTTCTCTTGAGACAAAATCTCACTTTCTTACCCAGACTGCGGGGCAGTGATTCAATTTTGGCTCCCTGCAACCTCTGCCTTCCGGATTCAAGCGATTCTCCTTCCTCAGCCTCCTGTGTAGCTGGGATTACAGGCATGCATCACCAGGCCCGGCCGATTTTTTGGGTTTTAGTAAGGGTCGGTGGGATAGGAGTTGGTTTTATGGGCTTTGGGGTGGGCAATGGAAAGTTGCAGGAGTTACAGTTTAGGGCGGTTTCCTGCAAGCTGGGAGGGAGTCATAGGTTTGACAGCTGAGGGGGGCCGGGCGTGGTGGCTCACGCTTGTAATCCCAGCACTTTGGAGGCCAAGGTGGGTAGATCACCTGGGGTTGGGAGTTCAAGACCAGCTTGACCAACATGGTGAAACCCCGTCTTTAAAAGAAAAAATGCTGAGAGGGGGGTCATAGGGTGTGGAGTCACAAGGTTGACCAAGGTCATTTACGAAGTCCAATGGTCTTATCAATTGGGGCAGGCATAAAGAATAGAGACTGTCTCAGAGTTGAGCAGGCGCCGCAGGTGTTGATTATTTCTTCCTCATTTTTCGGTCTTCCAGCTTTCTCAAGTTTTCTGATTCGGGAATGCCCTCGCCCTCCAGAGGTGTACCTGTGGTTCACCGGGGTTGCCTTGTTGTCCAGGGCAGGGTCAGACCTTACAGAAAAGAGAGAGGATTTCTATGCTGTTCTGTGGGCCGTCAGGATGCAACTGTACGTTTCCCTCAAGCTGGGCTTTACATTTCACCGTCTAGTTTACATTCCTGCCCTAGACAACTTCGAGGCTTTGGAATTAAATTTCTAAAAGTCAGCACTTTGGGAGGCCGAGGTGGGTGGATCATGAGCTAAAGAGATCGAGACCACCCTTGTCAACATGGTGTAACCCCGTCTCTACTAAAAATACAAAAATTAGCTGGGCATGGTGGTGCGTTCCTGTAGTCCCAGCTTCTTGGGAGGCTGACGCAGGAGAATTGCTTGAACTCAGAAGGCGGAGGTTGCGGTGAGCCGAGATCGAGCCATTGCACTCCAGTCTGGGTAACAGGAGCAAAACTACATCTCAAAAAAAAAAGAAAAAAAAGTATCCTTGTCATTTTTCTGGGAAAATAATTACATGTTTAGGATTCATGCATGAGAACCTTAGGCATTGTAAGAGATCTTTCTTTTGTTCAGATTTATGAAAGATGGTCCTGGAATTATTTTTGTTCCATTTTTTGAGACAGGGTCACTCTGTCACCCATCCTTGAGTGCAGTGACACAATCTTGGCTCATTGCTATTGCGGAGACCAGCTCCCAATATATC